AAAAAAAAAAAAAACTATGAATCTTTCCTGAAGTAAGAAAATAGTGGTGGAAAATAAAGAACCTATTATCAGAATGAAAAAACTTACAATGAAGTCCTTTGTTTAGAGACTCTGTTCTCAACAGTTGATTCACACACGCAAGACTCAATCCACATTTCCAAGTGGGCACTCCAAGGAGTGTACGGGCTTGTTGCCTGGAGTTTTATCTCCTGAAGTAAGAATGCACTTTTCAAATCAGTTCCTTGTGGTTTCTGATTGTCTTCAGCATCTCCTTACTCTCACTAACTCTGTCAGCTCTCCTTTTCTGTCTCAGAGATCTACTCCCAGAAATCACGTGTATCAGGGAAAAACAGCACAGATACACCATGGCAACTGGGATTACGAGGGAGAGGTTCGTAGAAGAGGGCCAGAAAAGCTCTCATCTGAGGGAAATTTTCAGAGGAGAAAGTTCATTGACAAAAAAAAAAAAAAAATGAGCTGAAGGATTCTTAAAGTGTCACCAAGGAAGGGGCCGGCTGGAGTGACAGATTTGACGTCTGCTCTATTTTTGGTGAACAGACACTTCATAAAGCAACAATAGCAGACTTGTTAAACCACTTCGTGAAAATGGCTCTTCAAAAAGCAATGTTCCATTTAACCCATGGGACGCGACACGTTGCGGATGATCATGGAAGCCAGGTAAAAGCACCCGACAGATTCTCTTCGAAGGCTAATGCCCAGGTGAAATAGCGGTGGTCATGCAGTCGGCGCTGGTATCTGAGGGGTCCAAATCTGAAAACGGAACCAGGAGTGCATCCTGCGGGCTCTGAGGTTTGGACGCCAGCATCGACTCCATCTACCACTGGCAGGGCAGGGGACGCAGGCACTGGTGTGGAACATTCTTGAAAACCTGGCTGCCAGGAGAACCTTGCCGGCTTTGCAAAGAAGACGGCGATGGGGAGGGGCGTCCAAGCCCTGAGGCAGCCCAACAGGCAGGTCCTTTGAGGACAAGGTCGGTCCTGCAGCGCCAGGAGGAGGTGACCAGGGCCCGGGCCAATCAGCGGGAGGCCCGAGTGAGCCGCGATTTTGGCACCGAGGGTGACAGAAGGTTCTCAAGGAGTAACTTGGGACTGGATTGAAACACTCAAACTTACCACTAGAAAATCAAAGTGATGACCAGTTTAAACAAAAATATATTCTCCCATCTAACAATGAATAAGTGGAGAGGAAGAGAACTATTTTATGACTTGTCTAATAAAATGGAAAAAACAGTGGCCGCTTGAGCAGCCTTAATCTGAAAATGCAAAACCTGTAACTTTTCCAGCACCACCTTGAAGCCACCAGTGGAAGATTCAGCCCCTGGGCTCATGTGACAGGTGCATTGCAGGGGCAAGGTGTGCACAAAATGTAAATGAATTCCGTGTTTAGTCTCGGGGCTCATTCCCCAGATCTCCTACTGTGTGTTTGCAAATATTCCAAAATCAGGGGGGAAAATATGGAACCGGAAATAGTTCTGATCCCAAACGTTTTGGGTAAGGGGATGTTCAGCCTGTACAAGAGGGAAAAAATGAGCACTGGACCTGCTCTGGGGGAGCCAGGGACTTCTCTGATGCTGGCAGTACGCACAGCAACATCGGTGGCGTACGGATCAGCGTTCTAGGCTACGTCGACTCCAATACCATCAGTCACCTCAAAGGATCCCTCACAGCTCCAAACCAGTGCCCCGGTCTACACCTCTCCGAGCTGTGAGAACACCCACTGCACACTCATGAGTACGGCATGTACTGTCCATTAAGAATGCTACAAATTGGGCCGGCGCCACAGCTCAATAGGCTAATCCTTCGCCTGTAGCGCCGGCACACCGGGTTCTAGTCCCGGTTGGGGTGCCAGATTCTGTCCCAGTTGCCCCTCTTCCAGGCCAGCTCTCTGCTGTGGCCAGGGAGTGCAGTGGAGGATGGCCCAGGTGCTTGGGCCCTGCACCCCATGGGAGACCAGGAGAAGCACCTGGCTTCTGCCTATGGATTGGCTTGCTGCGCTGGCCGCAGCGCACCAGCCGCGACGGCCATTGGAGGGTGAACCAACGGCAAAAGGAAGACCTTTCTCTCTGTCTCTCTCTCTCTCTCTCATTGTCCATTCTGCCTGTCAAAAAATTTTTTAAAAAATTAAAAAAAAATGCTACAAATTGAAACCCCCGTCACCTGGGTTTGAATCCTGACTCCCAGCATGCTAACTTTAGCAACTTACTTCTCTTCTCTTTCTATGACTCAATTTCCTTTACCCTTACAAAGGTACCATTAATACTTGTCTCATAGGGTTTTGGTGAGGAATAAATGGGATTATTAAGTGTATAGTGCATAGAACAGATCTTAACAAATAGAAAGAACTTAAACATTTGTTATTTTTAAGGTGACTAACAGAATAAAGGGGTTTATTGCTCTTTATTAAAAATGTTAGGATATTGTATTTGTTGGCATTCATTTTGCTTATTAATGGGGTCATCAAGAGCTTTCAGTATCCATCCTGTGCTTAGCATGTTAGCATTTTGTTCTTTTGCCCATGACCTCATGGTCCCACAACAGCTGCTATAGTTCCAGATATCTCAACTATGTTTGAAATCAAGAAGAAGAGAGAAAAGGAAAAACAAAGACAGATAATGACAGATAGATGGAGGGAGGTGCGAAGGAAGAGGGAGGGAGGGAGGGAGGGAGGCGGGAGGCGAGGGAGACAGAGAGAAAGAGAGTCTCACTCTAATTTCATATTTTATTAGAGAGTAAAATCTTTTTCTCAGAGCTCTTCTGCCCTTCATCTCACTAGCCAGCACTGTCCCTTGTGATGCCTCAGAAATCAAGGCGGTCTCTGCCTTGGCTCTGTTGGCAGAGAAGAAAGGGGGGAGGGGCTATCAGGTGCTCATCACCAGCCACTCCTCCTGCACCGACTGCTCTGTTCCTACCCTGGCTGCTTGATGGACAGCCTGATTCAGAGCATCTTGGGAATTCAGGAGCTTCTCTAACAGGGGAGGGCACTGCTGCCGCCACCTGCCTTCACCCTGAGCAAGACCCATTTGGTGGATCTGACTTTGTAATTTAAAAAAAAATTATTTATTTATTTGAAAGGCTGAGTTGCAGAAAGGCAAAGGGAGAGAGAGAGAGGTCTTCCATCCACTGGTTTGTTCCCCAAATGGTCGCAACAGCTGGAGCTGCACCTATCCAAAGCCAAGAGCCAGGAGCTTCTTCTAGGTCTCCCACATGGGTGCAGGGGCCTAAAGACTTGGGCCATCTTCTACTGCTTTTCCAGGCCACAACAGAGAGCAGGATTGGAAGTGGAGCAGCTGGCACTCGAACTGGCATCCATCTGGGATGCCGGCACTTCAGGCAGTGGCTTTATCTGATATGCCAGAGACGGCCCCACAGATCTGCCTTTAAAAGCCCAGTAAGTCCTGATGAGAAGCCGCTCCATGCTCAGCTGGCAGTGAGCTGGGAGGCACTGGAGCCCCCACCCGATCGGTGCTGAGCCCTCGCTCCCTGCGAGGCTTCATGGGGCAATGGATGCGGCACTCTTGCCTAGGGGTTGTGCACAGCTCACGAGAAAGGGACAGCAGCACACACCCTGGGCTGGGTGACACGCTCAAGTCTCCTGGGGTCCAGGGCAGGGCGAGCTCAAAGCTCTGGCATAGCAGATAGGCCTGCAAGGATGAGGAGCAGGGCCACAGGGATGCAAAGTGAACCAGGAGTGAAGAAGTGGAGAGGAGGGCGCTCTCGCCTGCAGCGATGGCATGGCAAGAAGCTGCCCAGAGCAGCGACTGTCACCTCTCTGGTCTCCTTAGAACTTGGAAGAAGATGCCCAGGGCTCAGAGGACGCCACGAGCTCAATGAGCTATCTCCATTGGAAAGTGCAGGGAGACCGAGTTATTCAGGTAAGCAAATAAAATAAGATAGAAGGAAAATTGGAATTTGCTAGCCGGCTCCCTCTCCCTCCAAGTACACTACCCAGGCAATGCAATAAATCAGAGTAGTAACTGTTCCTGAATCAGTCACTGCTGGCCCAGCTGAGGAACGAACAGATGCCAGGAGATGCAGAGAATGGCACAAATGGTGACGAAGAACTGGGGTCGAGAAGCTCAGGGAATTGACCCGTCTGCACTTCCTGGTGGATTGGTGTGGGGGTCCTGGCTCCAGGCATCCAGGGGCTCTGCCTGCAGGAGGTGTTTTGCCTTCTGCTTGCAGAACAAGAGCTAACTCAGATGAGCAGCCAGTCTCAGGATCCGTACCACAATGGTGCATGAAACTGATTCCTACTGCCTCTGAGAGGCTAAACGGGGGTTTCTCAAGTGCATAAAAAATCAAGACACTGTGCTTTGGGGGGGGGTGTCACAGGTGCCCACCAAGGACCCTCCACCTCTCTAAACAAATCAAGCTTAAACCAGGTAGAAATGATTCTTTAAAAAAAAAAAGATGTATTTATTTATTTGAAAGGCAGAGTTAGAGAGAGGCAGAGCAGAAGCAGAGGCAGAGAGAGGGAGGGGTCTTCCACCTGCTGGTTCACTCCGCAATTGGCTGCAACCACCAGAGCTGCGCTGATCTGAAGTCAGGAGCCAGGAGCTTCTTCTAGTTCTCCCATGCGGGTGCAGGGGCCCTAGGTCTTGGGCCATCTTCTACTGCTTTCCCAGGCAGTAGCAGAGAGCTGGATTGAAAGTGGAGCAGCTGGGACTTGAACCAGGGCCCAGATGGGATGCGGGCACCGCAGGTGGCGGCTTTAGCCACTATACCACAACACCAGCCCCCCTCGCCCCCAAGAAGCTTCTTAATGAAGGAGTCTTCTGCAAGAAAAGAGTGGTAGTAAGTATTATTGAGTGAAAGGAAAGGATAGGAAAACCACTACGCATATCTGATACGTGATAAGGAAAGTTAAAGGGGAAGAAAGCCTGGACCAAGACAATAAACAGCATTTGGCAAATGAGAGTCAAGAAACTTGCAAACACAAACTGAAAAAACAAAGCACCAGTGATGCCGTAGAAGGCAAACATGATTCAAGAAGCAGGATCCAAGAAGATAACAGTAATCTGACAACAGAAACACTGTAATGATATGATGTGTTTCTTGAGGGTAGTTGGAACAATGCGCTTTTTTTCTTCAACTTTATTGAACGACGATTTACATACTGTAAAATTTACCCATCTTTATTGTCCAGTTCCCAGACGGTTAGCAAGTTTAGTGTGCTGTGCAGTGATCACCAGAATTCCATTATTGAGCATTGCTGTGGCCCCAGACCCCACCAAGTCTGCAGTCTCGCAGCTGAGACTGGCCCTGGCCCAAGACCCTGGTCCCCCAGCCCCCACATCGGTCTCAGCTCTGTTTCCAAGGTCAAGGAGATGAGTCCTTTCAGCACCCCCAGCCTGATACTCAGCAGAGCTGGCATTTACGCCTGTTCTCCGGGGAGGATGGATTATTTTTCTGAGAAAGCCCCCTGCAGCTCTGTGGGCAGCGTTCAGATTTTCTTGGAAGAATCTAAAATAGGCACTAGAAACTTCAGCACAGTCTGTCAGACAGAAAACCCAGGAATTGTCTGTTCTGCTCTTAGCCTGGAGCGATGCACAGGGAGGAGAAAACTGCTACACCCTCCGCCAGGCCACCCCCACGCGTCCGCCCACACAAGTGTGTGTTTGTGGAAAGCGTCCCTGGCTCTGAACAAGTGGTTTCTTTCTCCCTCCAGAAATGGACCACAAAGGAGGGATGTGGGCATTGTCGGGAATTCCTGCTCGACCTGGCATGTGGTGTTCATACTAATTGGCGTTTTCTCGCTCTTTGGTTCCTAGCTAAAGGACTACGAGGCCCTGAACACCATCATCTCCAGCTCCCAGCCCCCTGCTCTGGTCGTAGGTACCGCTCCTACCTCTCCCACCTTTGCCCTCCTCTCCTTCCGATGTCACACCCTGGGCTGCCTCCCGTCTGTCTAGTTCTGCCTTGCAGCGAGCCCCCCACGCTCTGCTCAGAACTCCAGGGCAGACCAAGAATTAGAGCTCCTCTACTTCTGAGTTTGCACTGAGTTCCATCTGCCTCACCCCCAGGAGGCTGCAGGAGAGACAGATCTGGGAGGGCTTCGCACACACACACACCAGGAGCTCTGTCCTTATGTGTGGAAGTAACAGCAAAATCCATGTCACACAATGTCAGTATCCACCATCAGAATCCTTCTAGTGAGCTGCATGGCCTGTTGGTTTGTTTTTTTTTTTTTTTTAATAAGAGTTATTTGAAAGGCAGAGTTACAGAGAGGGGAGAGGAGAGAGAGAGAGAGAGAGAGAGAGAGAGAGAGAGAGAGAGAAATCTTCCATCTGCTGATTAACTCCCCAAGTGGCTGCAACAGCAGAGGCTGGGCCAGGCCAAAGCTAGGAGCCTGGAACTCCATCTGGGTCTCCCTCATGGACGTCAGGGACCCAAGCATGTGCGCCATCTTCCACTGCTTTCCCAGGCGCATTAGCAGGGAACCGAATCCAAGGTGGAATTGGGGCCATTTTTGCTGGACACCTTGGCAGGCCATTTCATTCTCTGGGGTTACTCTCACTTCCGTGGTAACTGCCCTGTAACTACGTTGTCTCCCTTCTCCTCTTCCTAACTCCACCTCCAGCCCCAAGCCTGGATTTTAAGAGACTGGTTTCCCCTCACCAAGCAGTGCATTTTTAGTACATAAAATATTGCATGTCCTTTTATTTATATCTATTTAAGAGGCAGAGAAAACAAGTCCATCTCCTGGCTCACCCTCTCCAAACTGCAACAATTGGAACAGAGCTTGAGCTGAAGCTGGGAGCAGGAACTCAATGCAGGTCCCAGACGTGGGTGGCAGGAGCCCGGCTACTTGATGATCACTGCCTCCCGGGATCTGCAAAGGCTGGAAGCTGGAATCCAGAGAGGGTGCTGAGAATCCAACCCAGGTACCCGAAAGGTCTTCCGGCCAGGCTGAACGCCTGAAATCAGTCACCCGCATAAAACAGTGGCAGCCATTTTTGTGTGATACCTCCCAGCCCAGCCATGCCCAAGCATTTATGAGCCCTGGAGAGGACTGGAATCCTCATTTTTCCTTCGTTGTAGCCTTTGGATCTAGTTCTATTTGCCACTGAACGTAACTGAGAATCAGCGATGCCTTATTTCCAAGGTCTCAGCCTCGTCTGAAAGCACACCTTGCTTCTTTGTGACAAGAGAGCTGCCGCGAGACCCCTTTCTGCTCCCCTGTTCTCAGCCAGAGAACACACATTATCTCCCAAGGAAAGCTGCTCTGTACAGCTCGGATTCACCAATGCTGAAATCACTAAATTGTTCACCAAAGATGGGCAGTGGTTAAGAAGTTTCTTGGGAGCTTGTGTTAGAATTTCTTGGTATTGGGAAATTTGGTTTTTGGGAATGACAATGGCTATGAATCACATGAAACTGAAGTTCAGCCTTGAGCCTTTGGCACTGAAGCGAATAGCAGTTCAAGATCTGGACAGAGTGAAAGCACTCACTCCAGGGGTGGGCATTCGGACTACCAGGGAATGCTCACAGCCTGCGGTAGAATACTAGGTTAGAGTCCTGGCCCCATTCCCAATTCCAGCTTCCCACGAATGCATTCCCTGGGAGGCAGCCATGATGGCTCGAGTCATTGGGTGCCTGCCACCCACTCGGGAAACATGGATTGAGTTGCAGCTAGCCTGGCCCAGCCTCATCTGTTGCAGGCACCTGGGGAGTGAAACAGCAAATGGGAACCTACGTCCCCAGTGCCCCAAATCTCAAATAAACCAATCAATAAATAAACAGTGGCTCCAGAACAAGTACCCTTGAGTTCTATCCCCAGCTCAGCCACTAGCAGAGCTGTGATGCGAAGCTTCAGTTTCCAGCTCAGGTGCTCAGGGTCCTCACCCAGCTGGGAGAGTCTTGTCTGCCCCCTTTTCCTCCTCATGTCACAGAGAGCCTGGGCACTGAAATTGATTACAGCTCCCAATGACAAAGATGCCAGCAAACCAGCATTTGTTGTGAGCCAGTTCCCCATGTTATGAAGAGGAACGTTCCCTGGATCAGCATCACTCTGGCGATTTTTTTTTTTTTTTTTTTTTTTTGGACAAGCAGAGTGGACAGAGAGAGAGAGACAGAGAGAAAGGTCTTCCTTTGCCGTTGGTTCACCCTCCAATGGCTGCTGCAGCCGGCACACTGCGCTGCTCTGATGCCAGGATCCAGGTACTTATCCTGGTCTCCCATGGAGTGTAGGGCCCAAGTACTTGGACCATCCTCCGCTGCACTCCCTGGCCACAGCAGAGAGCTGGCCTGGAAGAAGGGCAACTGGGACAGAATCCGGCGCCCCGACCGGGACTAGAACCCGGTGTGCCGGCGCCGCAAGGCAGAGGATTAGCCTAGTGAGCCACGGCGCGCCGGCCACTCTGGCGACTTTTTAACCCGCTATGTGCAAGGTTCCAGGCAGAATGTTACAATGATGACACTGAAGCTCAGAGGGCATTGCATGGGCATCCTGGAGAGTTTCCCGTACTTGCCCTTTCCAACTCCCTCAGAGACTCCAGTGCAGCCATTGTCCCCACAGTGCCACCAACGCTGTGCCCACAAGCATCAGTGACGCCCCCCTGTTGCTGGACCCACTGACTAATCTCCGCCTCATTGGCCCTCTCGGCGCTTGAAGCTCCGGCTGCCTTCCCAGCTCCCTCTCACTCGGCTTCTAGACCCCAGCCTCTCCTGCTTTTCCTTCCTTTTGCGTCGCCCCTGCTTGTTCCCCGCAGCACTTCCTGCCTTCACACTGGAGCTCCGGAATTCAGTCCTTGGTCTTTCATGTCAGCATCGCTCCCTTGATGATCTCTTCCAGCCCCACTCTCAGATCTCATCCACTCCCAGATGTACACCTCTGAGCCAGCCCCCAGCCCCCGACTTCCGTCTGTTATTTCCGGTTATCACTGCTTGCTAACGGATAGATCATGGACGTTAAAACCAAGTCCAAACCTGAAGCCGGATCATCTTGCTCCCCTGTTCTGCCATCTTCCCCACCCCCACTGGTGCTGGATCCCTGCTTAGAGTTGATGAGGCAGGGAACCCACTGGTCCACCCAGACTCATTCTCTCGAAATCCACACCAATGTGCTGGCTCTACCTACAAGGTGCACACAGGCTCTGGCCCCTTCTCAGCAGCCTACAACCAGCTGTAGGAACTATCTTCTCTCCCTGCTTCCCTCCGTCCTCCTCCACACAGCCAGGGGGATCCTGGAACACTAGAAGTCAGATCCCCTCAGATCCTCCAGCAGGCTCCCATCTCACTCAATGTCAAAAACAAGCTCTTGGGGTGCACATGTGGCCCAGGAGCTACGATGCAGGTCGAGACATCCACATCCCCCTTCAGAGTGCCTGGGTTAGAAACGTACCTCTGCTCCTGACTTCAGCTTCCTGCCAATGCAAATCCTGGGAGGCAGCAGGTGATGGCTCCAGTACTTGGGTTCTTGCCGCCCACATGGGAGACTTGATTGAGTTTTCAGATCCAGGCTTAGGCCTGGCCTAGCCGAGACCATCACAGGCATGTGGGGAGTGAACCAGTAAATGAGAGCTCATTCACTCTGTCTGTCAGGTAATAAACAAACCAAAAAAAAAAAAAAAAAAGTGTAAGTTGTGCTGGGCCCTGTGTGATGGACCCCAACCCTTACCTCTCTGGCCTCATCTCCAGCGTCCAGCCCTTCCTCACTCTGTTCCAATAGCACCAATTGCCTTGAACATATTGGGACCTTTCTTCTGGTTCCCCCTTGGTCTGGCAGCTTCTCTAGCAAATGTCCAGCTAGCTCACTTCTAAGCTTTTTTGTCTGTACTCAAATTCCCCTTCTCTGTGCGACCTTACCATGCCCCTAGCATTCCCAATCCCCTTACCTCGCTCCAGCCTCCTTTGAATCCATTCATCTAGTCAGCTTCGGGTAGCCCATGTCTACTGCGTTTGTTGTTTGAAACCTATCATCCTTCAAAGACAGGGATTCTTAGCTGTTTGTTCACTGCTGTGTCTTAAGCACTTACAACATCACGTGGTAGATGCTCAAGAAATATTTTCTGGGGCTGGTGATGTGGTGTAGTGGGTAAAGCTGCCACCTATAGTGCCGGCATCCCGTATGGGTGCTGGTTCTAGTCCCGGCTGCTCCACTTCCGATCCAACTCTCTCTATGGCCTGGGAAAGCAATAGAAGATGGTCCAAGTCCTTGGGCCCCAGCACCCACGCGGGAGACCCAGAAGAAGCTCCTTGCTCCTGGCTTTGGATCAGCACAGCTCTGTACATTGCAGCCATCTGAGGAGTGAACCAGAGGATAGAAGACTTCTCTCTCGCTCTCTACCTTTCAAATAAATTAATTAATTAAAAGATGCTTTCTGCATGAACATATTTGTTAAGTCAGAAGCAGAACCACCTCCCTCTCCCTCCCAAGCAGTGCCCTGGGCATCACACTCCAGGAGGTGTGGCCTCCCCCACCCCACCATGTGCCCACAGTTCCCATGCCTGAGTCACTTTACAGTGAGGGGTGTGTCCCAACCTGCCCATGTGCCATGGCACCAGCTCCCATCCCTAAGGGGACACTGAAGAGTCATACCCCTGTCAGCAAGCGAGGAAGGTGAGTCACCCCATCCCACTGGCTCCCTCTGCACGCAGGGACCCTACCATGCACCTTGGAATCATTCTTGACCTTCTCCTGGACTTCATAGCTGGGTTCAGGATCAGCTAAACCCATTCCCAAATGCACGGACCTCAGACAGGAGGGGGAACCTGTAACAGCTGAAACCAAAGATTGCTGAGGCAGCCCTGCAGCTGGGACAGGGTTTCAGGTGCTGTTGTTTATCTAAGGCAGAAAACTCTGGCTTCGCTGCTGTTATGAATGAACGTGAAGGCAGCCTGTGTCTCCATCACAGCCACGGAGAAACCAGGGCTGAATTACAGTCCCCGGCATGGTTCCATTCTGTGATCAGAGATCCGAGGGCTCCCTGACACCCACACTGAGGAAACTGGTGGATGGGGAAATGGGTAGCAGACATCTCAAGACGCCCCTGGTATTAGGGGAATGGAAGGCTGAGCTGCAGAGGAACACACTCAGCTTGCTGCTGACTCCTCACCGATGCTCTGAGCCTGTGGCTGTGGAAGTAGTGTGTGGAGCAGCCCAGATGCTAGGAGCCATAGTGGACAGACAGGATTAACCTCCTCCCGAGACCCTGGTCCCCAGAGACCTATCTGCCAGTTAGCATGCTGGAGGTCTGAACCCACCTTGACTCTGATCCAGGTTTCCATGGTGATTACTTAAACTTCTCATCATCCTTCCTTCAGACCTTGGAGGGAAGCGATGCTCCCTGGTTTCCATGACAACCATTTACCCGTGTATCTCTCTGTCTGGCTCTGTTGGAAATGAACTGCCAGAGATCATGCAAATGAACTGGCTGCTCTCCCTTTACTTTTAAAAATGAAACAAAATAAAAATAAAGTGTCACAGCTGCTTAGAAGTTTCAGCTCTCTGCTCATGACAAAAAGGGCAGATGTGTCCAGCTGCTGTCAGAGGCGGGCTTGTGCATTGCTTTGACACTTTAAGTTCGCAGGCTGACTCTGCTGTCTCACATCATGATCCACACTCACCATGACGCTGCCTCCCCTCTGCCCGGCAGCTGAAGCCCTGCAAGTTCAAGGCTGTTTGCCTTCTTACTGCATGTTAAAGGATGAAGGGAGAGACAAGGGCAGAGGGACTAGCCAGCCGCCCAGTCGAAACCCGGCTCTTTGCTGCTGTGGACACATGCCATGGACAACAGGGTTGGCAGCTCAGTTGGTTGCCAGTAGAGCAGCCAGAGGAGACCCAGGACTCGGCTGCAGGCCCAAGGACTTGGGAATACGTACCCTCATGATCTAAAAATGAGTCCACATTCTCCATTGGAACTCACAGGCTGGAGAGCGGGCTCCCTGGACTATGCACCAGGCGCAAGGAAAAGGCTCAGGAGGAGTCCAAAGAGCAGAGGGCTCTTCTTCCTTCTTGGACACTTCCGTGAGCCCCATCACAGCCCCATGCCTCTAAACCAGAGGCCCCAAGGGGCAGCAGTAGGCTAAGCGCAGCCACAGACAAGCATTTAGAGCATATTTCAAAATTGAACACCAGCATTTGAAATTCTGGAAGTTTCCAATGAAAATAAAGACTTCCCACTTCTCTCGAAAAATCAGACCTGCTTGACAAGGGCCTGTGGATGGAGCAGCATCTGTCCTCCCAGATGGCTCTGGGTGAACTTTTCTGAACAGCAAATTCTTCATGATTCCTGGAAAACGGTTGGGCTTGTAACTTGTAGAAAAGGGCCCAGAACTAATGCGAAACCAATTACCCCTCAACTCAGAGTTGAAGTTGCAAATGATAGCCTCTTTTGTCCCAGAGCCTTGCAGCCACCTGGGACAAAGTCAAGTTTGGTGATTGGGATAAACCAGGTTCTCAGGGTAGGAAAAGGCACTGGTGAGTATGCCCATGTTTCCTTCGTGATGACCTCCTTAGACCATTGGCTGACCTGTGATGGCCTCTGTAGGAGGCTGCTCTTTCGAGTCCAGTGTTCACTGGATTCATAAGCCCGTGAGTCATTGGCTGAGAACAACTGTCAAAATAATTACAGGACAAGATTAGTTGGTGGTAGGACAGAGAGGTCAAACCAGTGAGTCCCAAATGAGCAGTCAGACAGTGCTGGGTTTGATGCCGGGCCATTTTCTTAATGACCAGTCTCTGAACCTCTGTAGGCACGAGTCTCCTTGCCCACAAGGTGGAAGACAAGAGTTTACTTCGCTGGGTTTCTGGGAGACTCAAATCAGACTGTGGCTGGAGAGACCCTAGCACGAGGTAGAGATTTAATAAAAGTTAGTTTTCTCCAAACGCTGTGATATTCTCCGTGTTACCTCTCTTCCCCAAGGGACTTTTCTTGTCCCTTTCTTGAGAAAGAAGGGGGAAAATTCTTACTTTTCATTGTTTTCATTCTTTCATCACCTTGGGGATGACAGAAGAAACCACTAAGCCATCACTGAAAACAAACATGGGGCCTTTAGGAAGGAGCGCCTTGTCAGGAAATAGATTGATCCTAGTAAGAAGTTGTGTCCTGTTTTCTGTGGATTTTCTTCGGGCACAGCATGGGGACAACAAATGTCAAGCAAAAGATGAAGCAGATAAGGAGTGTTGGGAAAGACATCATGACCATGGAAAGGCCAAGCATTCTTTGGTTTGCCCTGGAGGTGAGCAGAATGTAATCAAACGGTTTTCCCTCTCTGTGCAGCAGTCAAGGCATTTTCCTTCCGTAAGAGAACACACTGGCTGCTGACAGGTGGCATGGATTGAGTGATTCGAGTCTGGAGCCCTTCCCTACCTGGGTAAGTTGTCCTTCTCCAATCAGCAGTGTGATAATGTCCATGAAAACGGGCCTGGGGCTCACTAATTCCCTGTTGGAATGTTGAAAGAGCCTCTGTCCAAAACTAAGCTCCCTGCACAAAAGCCTGGGAAACTTCTAGCTGTGACCTTTGGAAGTCCCCTCTTTGGGGTCATCACAGTTCATTGACAATGCAGGCACCTTGTGAGGACCAAGAGCCCGCGTGGCACCATCATTCATCCACATCTGGGTGTGATTTCTCTCCTCCCATTGCCGTGCAGACCATGCCTGGGGCTCTGCTATGTGATGTGTATGTTCTGTGTGCTTTGCTCAAGTGCACACTCAGTTCTGCACTGCGGTTGCTTAACAACATCAGGATTAGTGACTGTACCACCCCAAGGAGGAATAACAGCTTTGACATAAAAAAGCAGGTGTTGCTGACCGAAGAAAATGGGGATTGTTCTGGAAAACGCGGAATTGGAGGAGGAGGCTGCAAGCCGCGCAGGCATCCATCACCCCCTCAACAGAGGATCGCTGTGCTCTTGGAACCAGGCCACGCCTTTCCTGGGGCCCTATGGAGCCCGTGTTAAGAGAGCACTTCCTTAGTGGTAACAATACCTACCTTCTGGTTGAGCAGCTACTTGGCGCAGAGCACTATGCCGTCTGTACCTTGGCTCCAATCCTCACCTTGACCCACTATAACACATGAAGAAAGTGAAGCCCAGGAAGTATAATAATGTCCGGCAAAACCAGAGTTCAAAGGCAAGCTTGTCACTCCCTCTGAGTGTTGACCGTGGAAGGAGAGTGGGAAATGGGCAGCTGAGAGTGGGAATTCAGAGAAGCGGAGCACGCGCCGAGGACCCTAGCTGAGCCACTCTCCTGGCATCCACGGGGGGGCCCCCTCAAGCTGGCCCTGCACCTCCCTGGAATGCCGGGCTGGATTGACCTGGTGCTGGGAAGCAGGGAGCTCACTGGATCCATCCTGTCCCCTGTGCCTCTGTAGCCAGGTAATCCTGACCTGGGGCTATAGTGCTGATGACAAAAGCAGTTAGAAGTATTTAAAATGAAAGCATCCAGGTAAAATGCCTGCCCAAATGTCAGATGCATAAGAATAAAGAAAAATCTTTCACCTCCCCATTATCTTAGACAACTATTTGTCTGATTATGGAGAACAATTTGCATACTTTCCAATGACTAGGTTATAAGACCTCAACCCTGCCTCTCTTATCTCTGCCTCCTCCCCTCCCACTGCACAACCAGCTCCTTAAAATAAACTTCACTCACAAAGCCATTACCCTCAGGCTATAAAATCAGCATATTTCAAAATATTTATGGAGGGGCCCACACTGTGGTGCAGCAGCTAAGCCAGCACCTGCAATGCTAGCATCCCGTAGCAACACCTGTTTGAGCCTGACTGTTCCACTTCCAATTCAGTTCCTTGCTAATGTGCTGGTAATGCAGCAGAATATGACCCAAGTCCTTGGGCCCCTGCCACCCATGTGGAAGACCTGGATGGAGTGCCAGGCTCCCGGCTTTGGCCTGGCCCAACCCTGACCATTTGGGGAGTAAACCAGTGGATGGAAGTTCTCCCCTCCCTGCACTGTCTCTCCCTCTCTGTTACCCTACCTTTCAAATAAATAAATCCTTATAAAAGTTTGTGGGGACTGGCCCTGTGGCGTAGCAGGTAAAGGCAATGCATGCAGTGCCAGCATCCCCTATGGCCACGGGTTCAAGTCCTGGATGCTCCACTTCTGATCCAGCTTCCTGCTTACTGTGCTTGGGAACACAGTGGAAGATGGCCCAAGTTCTTGGGCCCCTGCCCCCACGTGGGAGACCTGGAAGAAGCTCCTGGCTCCTGGCTTTGGATTGACCCAGTTCCCACCGGTGCAGCCATCTGGGGAGTGAACCATCAGATGGAAGACCTCTCTCACTCTCTGCCTCTGCCTCTCTGTAACTCTGTTTTTAAAATACATAAATATTATTTTAAAAATTATGGAAAATGGAATTAAAGGATAAGTTCATTTTGGTGCAGAAGAATTTTGAAATCCACGCAGAGCTTTTTCAGCAAACTCATTTTCCATGAACTTTTTGAAGGTCCTCCTACTTCTCCCCCCAGCGACACAAAGCGACAGCAGCCTGTCCTGGATTCTATTCTACTGCACCGTTGAGTGTTCCTTTTAGTGTCAGCAGCTGGAGGAACAAAGCCCCAGGCAGGATCTCACCCCAGGTTCTGTTGCTATAACTAGATGTTATTTGCTTCAGTCCTTTTATCTCACAAGATACACACTTGGGCAATGTCAGAGAGAGACACAGGCCTCCTCCAGGCGGAATAGAACGGCCAGATCTGGGCCAAGTTGAGTCTCGCGTTTTTATTTAGAAAGAGCAGACAGAGCTGGTTTGTGCTCATCTGTTCTGTTTCCATTTTGGAAAACCAACAGGTCTGCTGAGAAGCCACAGGGCTCCAGTGATCTACGTCCACGTGTCCGCAGAGGATGACAAAACATCTCCCACCTCCGCCGCCAACAGCACCGCGAAGGTCTTTCCTCTTTTGTGTTGGCTGCATTGTCTAAGATGGTCTCTGGCAGAGAAGGTGTTCCTGCCGGTTTCACAGCTTGAGGGGCCTGTGCCTAGGTGGAGGCTCAAACGATGTCTGCACCCGCGAGTTTGCTTTGGAAAAGGAGGACGTGCGGGCAATGGGACTTGGAGGGAACTTTCCCTACCGGGTGTTTTGTGTCGGGGTGCATGGACCCCCCAGCATTTAGACCCATGCTTGCATCCTATCCAAATAGCCCCTGTCCCAAATACAAGGACAGCACAGAAACTCACAGCAAATGGAATTCAGAGGTAGGTTTATTTTGGTGTAAAAAAAGCAATTGAAATCCATTCCCATGAGACATCTTCAAAAAGTTCATGAAAATGCATATAAGGAAAAAAATCACACCTGGATTTCAAAATCATTTGCCCCAAAATAGGGGTATCTTTTAATTCCATCTTCTGTGAACTTTTTGACATTCCCTTGTAGTCCGCACGTGTTTAGAGGGTGAAGGTAGGGAGTTGGAGATGGAATGGGAGCCTTGGGGGAGGCAGCAACCCCCTGCCATCAAGAGTCCTCATTTTATGTTACAATGCACTAGGGCAGGGGGCCTTTGCTGAAGTGTCACCCGTAAGCCTTGGAATTTGAACATTTCTGGGCATGGTGCAGGTGGTCAGACCACCATGTCAATTTGTTTGCCTTTGTACCTCTCTTTATATTGAAGGTCCTGCCGCCACCAGAAATTAAGCTCTGTGACCTTCTCTGTGACCATCTCACTGATTCACTTCTTCCGTTATTTCACGTTTCCTAGTGAGCTTGATAAATGTCCCCAGCCCATCTACCATCCCTTACTAGACTGTCCTGGGCCAGCGGGAAGGCATGTGGAGTGAATCAGTGGAACGTGGGAAGCGTAGGAGGCGGATCATTTCACTGCTTCACCTACACACACAAGCCAGCAAGCCAGCCCCCTGACCACTCACATCAGAGAGTATTGCTAGATGCTATGGGCTGAACTATGGGCCACCACCTCCCAGGATTCACATATTGAAGTCTTAACTCCCAGGAGATGGGAAGTAACTACACTTGCAGATAGGGCTTTAAAAAAATATTTATTTAGGAAAGCAGAGCCACAGAGATAGAGGGAGAGGTGGTGGCAGGGAGTGGGGGCAGGGATCCTTCAGCTGTTGGTTCATTCCCCAAAAGGCTACAATAGCCAGGTTTGGGTCAGGCCAAAGCCAGGAGCCAGGAACTCCATCCATGTCTCCTACGTGGGTGGCAGGGGCCAAGGTACTCGGGCCATCTTCCACTGCTTTTCCAGATACACTGGCAGGCAGCTGGACCAGGCCTTGAATCAGTGCTCCCATGTGGGATGCCAGCATTCCAAGCAGTGGCTTGGCTCACTGAGCCACAATGCCAGGACCTTTTAAAAAGCAACTATTGTTAATCAAAGCCATTAAGGTCTGCCTTAGTCCAGTCTGCCTGCTGGCCTTATGAAAAAGAGGAGATTTAAGCCACCCAGATGGGGGAAGGCTTATGTGGGGACAACTGCAAAACAGGCATCTTGTCATCTGCACCCCAAGCAGGGGGGACCGAGGAAGACACCAGCCCTGCTGACACCTCGATCTTGGACTTCAGCCTCCACAACTGTCAGAAAATGGACTGCTGCTGTCTCAGTAGCTCAGTCTGAAGCACTCTGTGAGAGCAGCCCAGAAAACAAATGACAGATTTGCCTACTCCGGGATCAGACGAGCAGGTGTGATTCGTCCACCCTTTCAGCAAGTCTACCAGATGCCTACCGCGCACCGCTGTACCAAGTATAGGAGATTCAGCAAAGGAGTATCAAAATTCTGTCCTCTCGGGGGTGTGGGGGCGGGGGGAGGAACGGGCTACCAGAAACCAAAGCGAACAAAGAGACCTTCCGAATATTGGATGGTGACAGGTGCTGTGGAGAGCAGGAAGGCAGGAAAGGTAAGAAGATCCAAGGATCAGCGCGGCGCACTGGCCTCGGCGGCCATTGGAGGGTGAACCAACAGCAAAGGAAGACCTGTCTCTCTGTCTCTCTCTCTCATTGTCCACTCTGCCTGTCAAAATAAATAAATAAATAAATAAATATCCAAGGAAATGTGGTTCCTGTGTCTAACAGGTTGATCATGGAGTGAGGACGCTAAGGGGGGGTTAAGAAAATGCTGGAAAGAAGCAAAGCGGGGCATGCGCCGATCTGCAGTAGAGTTGCAGAGGCAGAGGGAAGCGTGAGTGCAAAAGCCCTGGGGGCAGCCAAGGCCATGAGGTCAGAGAGGGAAGAGTGGCAGCAGGAGGGAGGCGGGCCGTGGAGAAGAGGCCTGGGCACCGGCTCTTGGCTGTTGTTCCATTTGTTCTCGGAGGTGTGAGGTAGAAGCGTGATGGGACAGGACTTCCGTTTTAACAGGAATCGCGTGCTGCTGTGTTGCCAGGAGATCCCAGGGCGGTCGGAGTGGAGCTTTCTGGCACGGCGAGGTGAAAGCGGGTGCCCGCTGGCCCAGGACGGCCACTGCGCAGCCAGAGAGAAGCCGTGTGCTTCTCCACACCCAGGCCAACGGCCCCTGCTTTACAATCCCAGACCTCGAAGGCTTCCTTCTAATACAGGTGAGCCGAATTTATTTGGCAGGGAAACGTAACCCGAGCTTACTTCACAGCTTTTAACCCGCTGGAAGTTAGTATTTCCATGTCCTGCTACAGAAATATATGACTGCTTATAGGGTGCTGCCAGAGTCTATTTGGGCTTATTAGGTTTTCCTGATCTTTCAAAATTCAAAACCATGTGAATTCCCAAACACCTTGAGCCCAAAGGGTTTCAGAAAAGACATTGAAGACAGGCCACAGAAGGTAGAGACTGGAGGACTTGGTGACGGATTAGAGAAGCTTCTAGCAACAAGAAAGAAGAAAACACTACAGAACTCACTGGAACGCAGTGGCCACACCCAGGACAGCTTGGAGAGAAATTTGTAGCCATAAAAACCTAAACACAAAAAGGATCTTATGTCAGTTACTTTCCACATTAAGAGATTTGAAAAATGAAGTTGCCAAACACAAAGCAAGTCCCAGAAAGTAAATAATAAATACTAGACTGAAAATAAATAATAGAAATTAGAAAAATAATATAAAAATCAACGGAACCAAAAGTTGATTCTTTAAAAGTATCACCCAAATTGCAAACTTGGCCTACTTTGATCAAGGCAGGGGAAGAGAAAAAACTGAAAGAGAAAAAACAAAAATCAAGAATGCAAGAGACATTACTACCAACCTTAAAAAATGAAAATAATTATAAGGAAATGCTATGAACAATTGCCAGCAAATTGGAAAAGCTAGGTGAAATATACGCATTCCTTACAAGACATAAGCTATTCAAACTGGATCAGAGGGAAAAGAAAATCCAAGTAAAAAGGATTGGATTACTAATTTAAACACACACACACACACACACACACACACAGAAAAGCAAGACTCAGATGACATACCGGTGAATGTGAATCCTTTCAAATATTTAGAGGAGAATTAACAGTGATTCTCCACACAATCTTCTTTTTAAAAAACAGAACAAGCAGAAACACTCCCCAACTCATCCCTGAGCCTGATGCCAAAGCCAAAGACATCACAAGAAAAAAAAAAAAGAGATTAACATCTATAATCACCTTAGTTACAAAAATCCTCAACAAAATCCTACCAGACTGAATCCAGCAATACATTAAAAGACATATATAGGCCAGCGCTGCGGCTTACTAGGCTAATCTTCCGCCTGTGTCGCTGGCACACTGGGTTCTAGTCCTGGTCGGGGCGCTGGATTCTGTCCCGGTTGCCCCTCTTCTAGGCCAGCTCTCTGCTGTGGCCAGGGAGTGCAGTGGAGGATGTCCCAAGTGCTTGGGCCCTGAACCCGCATGGGAGACCAGGAGAAGCACCTGGCTCCTGGCTTTGGATCAGCGTGATGTGCTGGCCACAGCGCGCCGGCAGCGGTGTCCATTGGAGGGTGAACCAATGGCAAAAAGGAAGACCTTTCTCTCTGTCTCTCTCTCTCACTATCCACTCTGCCTGTCAAAAAAAAAAAAAAAAAAAAAAGTTGTATACAACACGACCAAATGGGATTTATCCCGACCAAATGGGATTTATCCCAGAAACACAAGTGGGATTCAACATATGAAAACCAAGTAACATACCATATTAACAGGATAATAATAAACAAAAACCACTTCACACTGATTAGGATGGCTAAAATCAGAAGACAATAATAAATGTTAGCAAGGATGTGATGAAATTGGAGTCCTTTTAACTTGCTGGTGGGAAACTAAAATGGTGCGGCTACTTGGGAAAATACTTTGGCAGTTCTCAAAAATAATTTTAAAAATGTCTTTATTGGAAGGCAGAGCGACAGAGCAACATGGCAAAACCATCCACTGGTTCACTCCTGAAAAGCCTGCAAGAACTGAGGCTGGACTCAGGCCCAAGCCAAGAACTAGGAACTTTATGTGGGTCTCCCACGTGGATGGCAGTGACCCAAGGACTTGAGCCATCCTCCTCTGCTTTCCTGGGTGCATTGGCAGACAGTTGGGTCAGAAGCAGAGGATTCAGGGCTCTGATATGGGATGCCAGTGTCTAGGAAGTGGTTTAACCCTCTGTACCATGATACCCAACCCAGTCCTCAAATTATCAAATGAGCCAGCAATTGCACTCACAGAGATATGCCAAAGACAATTAAAAGCATATGTTTACACAACACTTTGCATATGAATGTTCACTGCAGCATTATTTATAGTAGTCTCAAATATAAACAAGGGAAATGTCCATCAACTGGTGAGGGAGGTGTGTGTGAACAATGGGATAGAACTCAGCAACAAAAGGAATGAAGTAGTGACTCATGACAACATGGCTGAACCTCAAAAACATTAATGAAAGCCAGCCTCCAAAACCCACATATTGGGTTCTTATTCTGTAGACATATGATATCCAGAATAGGCCAATCCATATAGCTGTGAAGTAGCTGAGAGGTTAGCAGAGGCTGGGGTGAGGTAGGAATAGGGAATATTTGCTAATGGGTATGGGTTTCTTTGGGAACTTGTGAAAATGCCTGGAATCAGCTGGTGCTGATGGTTGTTCAACTTGTACACTTTAAAAATGTGAACTTTGTGCAGCTGATGCTCTGGTACAATGGGTTAAGCCATTATGGGCAGTACCAGCATCCCATATGGGTGCCAGATTGAGTTCTGGTTGCTTCACTTCTGATCTAGCTCCCTGCTAGTGCACCTGGGGGAGCAGCAGCCCAAGTACTTGGGCCTGGTACCCATGTGGGAGACCTGGAGGAGGCTTGGGCTCCTGGCTTAGGCCTGGCATTACTCCAAGCATTGCGGCCATTTCAGGAACGAACCAGCAGATGGAAGATTCTCTCGCTGTCTCTCCCTCTCTATCTTAAAAAGAAAAAAAGTGAAGTTCATGTTATGTGAGTTTTATCACAAATAAAGTTGCTATATTTTAAGGGTGGTGGGTAGGGAAGGAGAATAATCAAGAATGGCATCAAGGTTTGGGGTCTCAGCCCAAAAATTAGAACAGGGAATATGGTGAGGGTGAGGTGTGCAAGGCTGGGAGTTCAGCTGCGGAGGCGCTGGAGAGAGTCGTCTGAGTTTGGGATGATGTCAGGCTAGAGATATGATGCGGCAGCCATTAGCATTTAGATGGAATTTTTTAAGCCATGGGATGGATGAGACAGATCTTGGAGGCCATGGGAGTGAGCAAAGGAGGCAAAGACTTCATGGACTGAGCACTCGGGCACTGGGATGCATGGGGTGGAGGTGGGGGCTTCTATGTGCTGGCCTGGGGCAGCTCCTGTGCAGTGAGCTTAGAGTCCATTCCATGGTGGTGAGGAGGATATTTGAGAGCAAACAAAATGCTGAGATCACAGTCAAGTATCAAACCAGGGGCCAAACTCAAGTCGCTGCTCTGAGAAAACTTGATGACAATGGGAAGATTTAAGAACTTCAGTTTCTGATTCATTTGGAAAATCAAATTCACCTGAAGATATCTAAAGCCACAAAGTTGGAGACTTCCTATTTTAATGAGCTTTTTTTTTTAAACTGTCCGCCCTCAGATGCTCATCATGTTGTAGGTGGGGACACATCTTGTATCCTATTCCATTTCCCTACTGCCTCTCGATTTTCTTCCCATCTAAACTCATGATTACAAGATTAGCATCTTGCCTGTGATGAGTCAGGCATATTGAATCCCTTCCCAATGTGTATTTAAAATATATTGAAATCCTGTCTTGGAAATATGGTGTGTAAGTTATATCAGAATATATTATTCCTGTCAAATAAAAACTAATCAACCAGGAGCCAAACAGCTAGGGTTCTAGCATGCCTGATCAGACAGTCTCCATTCTTTGAATTGATTTTTCAGCCCAAATATTTTCCTCCTTTAAATCATAGGGACACACAAAACATTTCAGGAGCCTGCCGATTTCTGGCATTCTCTCAAGGAGAATGAAGCGACAGATTCAGATTTCCTTTCTCAGTTGTTATTTTTCTGTGAATTTAAAATTGCACCTCACCAAGAGAGCTGTTTTGTGTTGTGGGGAATTAGGATGACAGAAAGTTGCTTCTTGTAAAGAAGATAGCATGACAGATTAGAGTAAGGCTTGCCACTGTAACAAAGAAACCCTGTGTTTCCCACTGGGTAGCACAATAGAAGTTTGCTTCTGTCCTCTGCAACAATCCCCCCCCCCCAGGACTCCTGGCAAGTAGGGGCATATTATTCTCTCACTGAAAGAGCAGGCTCTCCAGCTGGTAGCCCCACCTGTCTTGGGTTCTCCTAGTTCTCTCCATTCACATGTAGGCAGTAGGAGACTAGAGAAAGCACACTTGCCTCTATAAAAATCCCATCCGGAAGTGAGACTTGTCCCTTCCCCCCATTCCATAGCTGTGGTCAGGACCTACCTGGGCATACAGGAAACTGGGAAATACCTTAATTGGGTGGCCACTTAATTGCTGGCAACAACTTTACATGTGGACCAAAAAAGCATGGATTTGGTACAACCTTGGGCTGACACCTTGGGCTTAAACTTAGTCAATCCACCATATGCTAGGTGACCCTGGGCAAACTATTCAATTCTTCTGAATGAAGCTGTTTATCTCTTTCAGACATGGGTTTACTCTCCAAAATGAAAGACCCACTTTGTATGAGGATATGCCACAAAGTTCATGGAAAATAAAATTCCAAAAGTTATTTTTGTGCAAAAAGTTCCAAAATCCCCACATAGTCTTTTTTCATAATATGCATTTTCCATGAACTTTTTGAAAACCTCTTTCATGCAGAAATGTCAAAAATTTTTGCACCAAAATGAACTTATCTTTTAATTCTATTTCCCACAAACATCCTGAATTTTGCTTATAGAGTAGTCTTGTTCAATAAAGACAATGTAAGAACTATGCTCAGTACAGCATAAGACTCTTTGGAGTCCAAGAGACAAAAGCATAACATAAACAAATTGGGCTTAGAAGGGAATGTTGCTGGTTTTTGCCATCAGATCATTGCACAGACAGCCTTAGGAGCAGCTGGGATCAGAGATGGGACTGTCATCCAATGCTCTCGTTTCTGCTCTGTGGTATGCGTAGACCTCATAGGCGCCTACTGCACACAGTTTTCCTCCTTTGAAATGGTAGGGAACATAGATGATCACAGCCCTGAAGTCAATCCAACTCCAGGCTCACTACCAGCCCCAGGAAGGCAAATCTGAAGGAATGATACAGCCTGGGCAGGCCTGGCCGCCATGTCTCTCACCAGCAGTCAAGAGGCAAAAAGGCAGGTGCTGGGCAGACAATGGATAAGTCAACAACCCCCGATTTGTGGTAGCTCTTTTTCATTTGTGGGACTTGACACCGGCTAGAGTAATCAATCTCAACTTCAGGACACACCCTCTCCCCACCTGCCGTTCTTGGACTGAGGTGGAGTCTGTAGAGCACCCAGTGCTCCAGGCTTCAGTTACCTGAGTCCTGCTCCTCCTCCTCCTCCTCCTCCTCCACTTCCAAACCCTCTTTGTCTCAGTAACCTTCTCTCCTGATGCGAGGAGTCAACAGATACATGGGTTCCCAAAGATGTTTGAACGACTGATCATAGCTGTGTGTCACCTTACTCTCCAGGAAATGGAGCATCATCCAGCATCCCCGGGGGCATCTTTTCCATGGCACTGTTCTACCTCCATCACTACTCTCTCCCTTATTGATCCCACAGGAAGCACAGCTGACCCCTTTTATGCCATGACCTAAAAACACCTTTAAAAACAGGCTGGTACTTACTTTTTTTTGAAAGGCAGTTAGAGAGAGAGAGAGAGAGAGAGGGAGATAGAGATCTTCCATCCACTGATTCACTCCCCCAAATGGCTGCAATGGCCAGGGCTGGACCAGGCCAAAGCCAGCAGCCAGGAGCTTCTTTGAGGTCTCCCACATGGGTGCAGGGGCCCAGGCACTTGGGCCATCTTCCGCTGCTTTCCCAGGAGCATCAGCAGGGAGCTGGATGGGAAGTGGAGCAGCTGGATCTCATATGGGCTTCCATATAGGATGCTACCCGCTATACCACAACACAGGTAACCAGACTGGTACTTTCAGAATAAGTTTGCTCACTGCCAGGGAGGATAATAGGACAATAAACAGAGGGTGTCAATAGGACAAATTAGCGTCTGGCTTAAGAGATAAAGGTTGCAAATCTCATTATAGCCAATTTGCTTTCCAGAGACTCAAAGGAGGGGAAGCAGCCCCATCAAGAACTTTCTGTATTTGCCTGTGCTGCTCCAGAGGGGTGCGGACCTGCCACTGGCTCCCCGTCTAGCCTTGTATTCGCCCTTCAACTTGGGTGAGTCATTTAACCCCTCTGAGACTCACTCGATGGTGCTCACCTCCAGTGGCTGATGTGAACGAGTACAGATCTGCTAGGATGGCCACAGCAAAGTGCCCCAGGCTGTGGGCTCACACCACAGGAATGTATTTCTAACATTCTGGGGCTGTGAGTGTGAGGCCGCAGTCCCAGCAGGGTTGCTTCCTTCTGAGGACTGTGGTAGAATTAGTTCCTGGTCCTGCCCTGGCTTCTGGAGTCTCCTCGCAGTCTGCAATGTTCCTTGCCGGGTCAGTGTGATCTTATGGCACTCCCCCTCTGTGTGTGTCTACCTCCAAATGTTCCCTTAGAAGGACACCCGTCATATTGCACGAGGGGCCCTTCCTACTCCAGGTGCCCTCCTCTTATCTAATGATGTGTGTAATGACCTTATTTCCGAGGCCCCATTCTCAAGTCCTGGGGTTATTTAACACAGGAATTTGGCAGGGGACACAATTTCACCCCCAGCAAAGAATAAATGAAACCACGTATGTAAAGCATTTATTTATTTATTTGAAAAGCAGAGTTAACAGAGATGCAGAAGCAGAGAGAGAGAGAGAGAGAGAGAGAGAGAGAGAGAGAGAGAGAGAGAGAGAGAGAGGTCTTCTATCCTCTGATTCACTCCCCAGATGGCTACAATAGCTGGAGCTGCACTGATCTGAAGCCAGGAGCTTCTTCTGGGTCTCTCACATGGGTACAGGGGTCCATGGACTTGGGCTATCTTCTGCCTTCCCAGGTCATAACAGAGAACTGGATCGGAAGTGGAGCAGCCGGGACTTGAACCAGCACCCATACAGGATGCTGGCACTACAGGTGACTGCTCTACTCACTACGCCACAGTGCCGGCCCCTGTAAAGAATTTAACACAATGGTTGGTGCACATGTGCTTATTCATAACCACTGCCTTCTTGACAGCTGTGAACTCCCTGGTTTCATGCTTGGCCCATCTGCTCCTCTCCAAGGGTGTAGCCATCCCTAAGATAATACAAGATTCATGGCGTGACTCACCCACCACCCCTAACAACTGATTGACAATAACATTATTATTCTCATTATGTAAGACCGTTGTCACATTCTAGCCACTATTTTAAGCACTCGGCTTTTGGTTGATTTCTTTAAACCTCTTCAAACAACTCTACAAGGGAGGCACCAGTATTATTCTCTCCATTTTATAGATGAAGAAATTGAGGGAAAGAGAGAGCAGGGACTTGCCCAAGGTCATACAGCCACTGGGTGGAAGCCCTGGGGTGCCAACCCAAGACCTCCATGCGCTCAACCAACAGCCGCCCTGAAGTTTGTTCCTTGTGCCCTCCAGCCACTTCCTGGTGACTGGTTTTGAAGATGTGTATTGAGAAATGGGTACATATTTGGGAACAGAGGTACCTCTGTGTCATAAATCAGATCCACAGTGTCAGCTCCCCTGTGAAAGCTAAGACAATGGGCAGAGATGTCGCTGGCCATCTGCCTGAAGGGCAATGAAGCGGGGCCCTTTGGGTGGCCTGGTCCAGGCATCCCTTCTCCTTGGGCAGCTTCCACATGAAAGGGGTGCTGGACCACAGCTCTCGGTGTCTATATTCTTCACAAACTGCCAAGAAGGAGAAACACAATTTTTTCAACATCTTTCCTTTTGGTGGGGTGGGTGTGGAGTCAAGGCAAACCAGAGCCCACAAGAGAGAGCAGCTTGGAAAACAGCACAGCAAGTTGTGGGAGGCCTCTGACCACTTCTCCCTGCTTCCTCCTCAGATCCGGGGCCTGGGGACCTACACCTGTTTGTGCACAGCCTCATCCAGGTGAGCTGCATCAAGGGGGAGTTCTCCGCCTGCCTCTTCCTCCCAGCACCAGGGCCCTATGCGTGGCCTCAGGTGCTGTGGCACACCTGCACCTGAGACTGAGGTATGAGGTTGTCCTGGCTCCCAGCACTCAGCCCGCCAGGGGGTTCTGCTTGAGTTCTGCTGCTCAGATCTCTGCCCAGGGTTCCCCAGCCCCAGGCTCTGTGCCCCTAGATTACAGTGTATATTTGGTGAGCTCCCTTACATATTATCTATTAGTTACTCTAGCACCACTTCCCTATATGATGGTACTTCCAAAGGTTCATGGAAAATGCAGTTAAAAATTAAGGGGCATGTGTTTGGCCCAGAGGGTTGGATGCCCACATCCCACAGTGGAGCACATTTGCTGAATATACAGCTCCAGCTCCTGTCTCCAGCTTCCTGCCCCTGTGGACTCTGGGAAGCAGCAGTGATGGCTCAAGCAGTTGGGTTCCCCTCATCCACATGGGAGGCCTGGATTGCGTTTCCAGCACCCAGCTTTGACCAAGCCTAGCCCAGCATATTGTAAGCATTTGAGGAGGTAAGCCAGTGGCTAGGAGCTTTGTTTCCCATCTCTCTGTCTCTCAAATAAATTAATTATAACAAGAACAAATGTTTATTTGGGTGCAAAAGATTTTGAAATCCATGTACATGAGTGACCTAAAAATTCACAGAAAAATGCATATTATGAAAAAACTATGTGCAGATTTCAAATGTTTTGCATCAAAACAATTCACCTGCTTTTTAAAAGATTTATTTTATTTATTTGAAATACAGAGTGACAGAGAGAGGGAGAGACAAAGAGAGAAAGAGGTCTTTGATCTGCTGGCTCATTCCCCAAAAGGCTACAATGGCTTGGGCTGTCCCTAATCAAAACAAGGAGCCAGGAACTCCGTCTGGGTCTCCCACATGGGTGGCAGGGGCCCAAGCACTTAGGCCATCTTCTGCTGCTTTCCCAGGAACATTAACAGGGAACTGATCAGAAGTGGAGCAGCCAGGACTCAAATCAACATTCAGTTATGGGATGTAGGTAGTGCTGGCCCCCATAACTCAATGTTTAATTGCATTTTCCTGTAAACATTTTGAAGCAACTGTATTATCCAAAAACCTGTGATCTCCCTTGTAGGCCTATTCCACCCTCCTGTCCTCCCTCTATGATAAATTGTTGAAGATTTTCTCTGTGGGGGTTGCTGATTCAGTCCCTAGGCATCAATCCGACTGGCAGAAGCCAAGCAGAGACAGCCCAGGAGGGCCCACCCACTGTTTCTGCTGCTTTAGTGATATCCCACATCTGAAACCCCTGTCCCCAAAACAGGGCAGTCATGCAGGGGTCGCACATGCTTGGGTGATGAGACAGGTTCCTCTGGAGGGTCCCCCCAGGGAGCGGCTTCTTCCCAGGCCTCCGTACCCGGGAGACTCAATGCCTAAAGACCCAAGTCTCCTGCGTTGCTCTGCAGTGGGTCTTGGACTTCTTGGCGCACATTTGCCAACAACATTCTAGAAGGAGAATGAATGGAAGGTACTGAGGGTGCCTCCCTTCGCGTTGAATGGCTTCAGCTCCAGCTGCCTGTCTCTGTCCTACCTGAGCTGGGGCCGTCTGATCCTTCTGAAAAGTCTGCATTTCTACTGCCCGGGTACCCAGAAGTCCTCTGGTCCAGCTCTGCAGCTTTGCAGATGAGCAGAGGCCTAGAGAAGGGGCACAGGGAAGCAAGACCCACAGCTGGGCCCAGTTGTCCTGACTTATTGCACCGAGCTACTCCCACTGAACAGGCAAAGCACTCCAAGACGTCAAAAGGAAAGGGGAGACCTAGGTTTAAAAAGCAAAAACCAGACAATAGGCGGCACACTGGCAAGTGTCCCCTCTCCAGAGTGGGTGAAGTGGCTTCTTTCAGATGCTCCTGAGAGGCCCAGTGACCCGGGGGTAAGTCACACCCCTTCTCCCGGGCTCTGCAGGGGAAGAACTCCGCCCTGCCCACCTGGCCGGGCAGCAGGGGCAGCACCTGCACAGTGAGCACCACAAGGACCTCTTTGCCTCGGGACAATTCAAACATCACCATTGCCTGCTCACGGTTCCAGCGTAGCCCTCTCTTGCACCCCAACTACCCCTCCTGGCTTGCTGACATAAACACAGTCTTCATTGCCTGTTGGCAGTTTTCCTCTTAGTATTCAGCAAGATCACACGTGAGCTGAGAAAGGCCGTAGGAAGATTCTTAGAGCAAATATTGCCGTTTGCATATCTCAAAGCCTTGCTATCTGATAATAGCGACTGGATTTCCCAAGTCAAAACTCAGGACAACTCACCAAAATTCTTCATTTGGGAAAATAGGTATGGGAAAAGTCTCAAAAAACTGTGGAAAATGCATTTAAAAGACATTTATTTTAGTGCAAAAAATTTTTATCTCCATGCATAATTTGTTCATAATAAACATTTCCCGTGTACTTGTTATAAGACCCATCATATCATACTCAGTAGTCAAATCACATGTCAAAAACTAACTTTATGGGGCTGGCACTGTGGCATAGCGGGTTAAAGCCCCAACCTGCAGCACCAGCATCCCATATGGGTGCTAGTTGGAGTCCTGGCTGCTCCACTTCCAATCCAGCTCTCTGCTATGGCCTGGGAAAGCAGTAAAAGATGGCCCAACTGCTTGGACCCCTGCACCCACATGGGAAACCTGGAAGAAGTTCCTGGCTCCTGGCTTTGGATCAGCTCAGCTCTGGCTATTGTGGTCTTCTGGGGAGTGAACCAGCAAATGGAAGACCTCTCTCTCTCTCTCTCTCTCTCTCTGGCTCTACCTCTCTCTCTCTAACTCTGTCTTTCAAATAAATAAAATAATTTTTTTTTCTCGACAGGCAGAGTGGACAGTGAGAGAGAGAGACAGAGAGAAAGGTCTTCCTTTTGCCGTTGGTTCACCCTCCAATGGCCGCCACGGCCGGCGCGCTGCGGCCGGCGCACCGCGCTGATCCGATGGCAGGAGCCAGGTGCTTTTCCTGGTCTTCCATGGGGTGCAGGGCCCAAGCACCTGGGCCATCCTCCACTGCACTCCCTGGCCACAGCAGAGAGCTGGCCTGGAAGAGGGGCAACCGGGACAGAATCGGGCGCCCCGACCGGGACTAGAACCCGGTGTGCCGGCGCCGCTAGGCGGAGGATTAGCCTAGTGAGCCGCGGCACCGGCCCAAAATAATTTTTTTTTAAATGAACTTTATGGAGGTGGGTGTTTGATGCAGCAGTTAAGCTGATGCTTGGGATGCCCACATCCCATGAGTGCCTGGGTTCAAGTCCTGCTTCCACTATATATTCAGTTTCCTGTAATGCAACACCCGAGAAGCAGCAGGTGATGGTTCAAATACTTGGGTTCCTCCCACGCTTGTGGAAGACTTGGATTGAGTCTCTAGCTCCTGATTTCACCGTAGCCCAGGCCTAGCTGTTGCAGGAGTTTGGAGAGTGAGATAGCAGATGGAAGAGTTTCTCTTTCTCTCCCTCTCTGCCTTTCAAATAATTTTAGAAATTAACTTTATGGAAAAGTGACCCTATTTTTTTTTTATTTATTTGAAAGTCAGAGTTATGCCAGGAGCCAGGAGCTTCTTCTGGATCTCCCACATGGGTGCAGGGGCCCAAGGACTTGGGCCATCTTCTACTGCTTTCTCAGGCCATAGCAGAGAGCTAGATTGGAAGTGGAGCAGCTGGGACTTGAACCAGTGCCCATATGAGGTGTCGGCACTGCAGGAGGCGGCTTTACCCGCTACGCTACAGCTCCGGGCCCAGAAAGTGACCCTGTTTCACACACCAGAAGCCCATGGAGAAGTCCCCAGTGTGAGGTCCCAACCTGTGACTGTGCCCCTGCCCCAGGCAGCTCACTGAGGCCGTGAAGCGGGCTTGCATGCATCAGGAGAGCCTGTGCAGAGCAAGTACCCAATCATTGTCACAGCCAGACTCAGCTGCCAAAGCAGCTAGCCGAGAGCCGGAAGCGCCAGTCAATCAAACTGCTGTTTGTTCTAAGTGACAGCCTTGTGTGGAACAAACAGCCTGTGTGACTGATTTTTTTTTTGGTGTGGCGTAAAGTGACAGAAATTCCATGGCATGGCAAACACAGTGCCAACACCTCTGTGCCAGATACCAGCCCCCACCCCTGCTCTGTCACAGGGAGTGTGTGACCTCATCCCTGAGCTGGAGAGCTCAACTCCTTCTGTCGCTCCCTGTCTTCATGGAGGAACGACACAGGACCCTGCGTTATTCTTCTGTCTGCTCGGCCCTCCCCGGGTTTGCTGCTGGTTCTTCCCGGGTTGGCTACCGACCCTTCCACCTCCGTGGAAGGGCGGTTCCCCCTGCCACATTCCCCACTTCCGCGGGGGAGCGGCACACCGCCGGCCGGCTCTCTCGGGGGCTGCACAGGTGTTCCTTCAGATAGATGTTCCTGGTGCATGGTGTCTCTCTCCTCCTTTATAGTCCTCTTCCGCCAATCCCAACTCTGCTACCCACACGCCGAGTACGCTGCTCTCCTCCAATCAGGAGCAGGTCCTGCTGCTTATTGGTTGAACTGGAGGCAGCTGTGTAGAAGCTGTTTCTCCCTTCTCAGCGCCATATTGTGGGAGAACAGATGCATAGAATAAGTCTTAATTCCAGTAACTTAGTCTAGTCCGAGTTGCTCCCCACACCTTCCTCCCAGCAACCGGAAACCATGCTCTACAGCCAGCACCTGCTCTTCCATGCTGGGCTCCCACGGCCTCCTTCTGCCCAGCCAGCCTCCATCTTGGTTTCCTGAAGCCCAGGGACCATCCAGGGAAAAGTCTTAAATGCTCTTTTGCCAAATCCTGATGTTCCTTGAAAAAGCTTCTGTCTGGAGCCAGCATTGTGGAGCAATGAGTTAAGCTGCTGCTTGCAATGCCAGCATCCATACTGGAGTGCTAGTTCATGTTCTGGCTGTTTTGTGTCTGATCCAGTTCCCCGCGAATGCTCCTGGGAAAGCAGCAGAAGATGGCCTAAGTAATTGAACCCGTGCCACCCCCGTGGGAGACCTGGATGGAGTTCTGGGCTCCTGGTTCCAGCCTGGCCCAGCCCTGGCCATTGCAGCCATTTGGGGGGTGAACCAGCTTATATAAGATCTGTTTTCTCTCTCTCTCTCTCTCTCTCTCTCTCTCTCTCTCTCTCTCTCTCTCTCTCACACACACACACACACACACACACACGCCCCTTCCCTGTAACTCTCCCTTTCAAATAAATCAAATTTTTTAAAAATAAATAAATTATGGGGCCAGCGCTGTGGTATAGCAGGTAAAGCCACCGCCTGCAGTGACGGCATCCCATATGGGCACTGGTTCAAGTCCCGGCTGCTTCACTTCCGATCCAGCTCTCTGCTATGGCCTGAGAAAGCAGTAGAAGATGACCCAAGTCCTTGGGCTCCTGCACCCACGTGGGAGACCTGGAAGAAGTATCTGGCTCCTGGCTTCAGATCGCCACAGCTCTGCCAATTGCAGCCATTTGGGGAGTGAACCAGAGGATGGAAGACTGTCTCTCTCCTTCTCTCTCTTTAACTCTGATTTTCAAATAAAATAAATAATTCTTCTTTAAAAAAAGTAAATAAATCAAATGTTAAAAGAAAAAACGAAAGGGTTCTTCCCACGTCAGGAATTGCACGGAGTGTGAAGCCTCGGCTCTGTCATGGGCCCTTCTGAGCTGTGGGCTACGCAGGGGAGGGGCAGTCACGAGAGGCCACGGTGCTGGCTCCGAACCAACATTCTGCATCAAACACATCCTGTATGCTATGCTCCTCCAGCATCCCAACCCCCTTCTCCACTCACTCCTCACAGAAACTCCACGAGGGGTTCCTTTCTGCAGAGAAGGAGGCGCACCCCGTGGACAGTCCGTTCCGAGTGCCAAGCCCTTGAAGGCGCCTCCTGGGACAAGGTCCTGTGATCTCAGGGGCACCCGGGCACCCACAGGGGCTCAACGTGTCCCCACCGGGAGCCAGCAGTGCTGCCTTGCAGAACACAGGACTCACTGTGGGCTGATGGCTTGTGTTTGTTAATGTTCTGTCGGGGAAGTGGGGAAGGCACAGTCTGAGACCTCATAAAGCCACGCTCCTCCATCCCTAGAGCGGACGCGGGCTCTCAGCTCCCCCATGACACACGGTGTGTGAGGGGCTGACGCCGTTGTCCATGGGGTCTCACTGAGTCCTCCAAAAATCCTTTCGAAGTGGATATCATCCCTACTTTGCAACCAACAAGATTGGGGTTTTGAGCAGTTGGGGACTTGCCCCTAACTCCCAGCCTCATCGCTTGTCCCCAAAGCCCACCCTCAATGACTGTTCCATAAGAGAGCAGGAGGTGCCTCCCTTTGGAGGGAGTAATCCCGGGATTACTGATCACTGTGAACATGGGAAGAATTTGAACTTGGAGTCAACTCTGCTGCCCTTTCTGTCTGTTTTTTATGAGCGAGATCTGCCCGGAAGCCTCAGCTGGTGCTTTCCCTCCAAGAGCCCGTGAGATGCTGCAGGTACAACCCAGCCTTGGGGCACACGGTCAGCTGCTACTCCTGCTCTCTGCCCTCCCCTGGAGCTGAGCAGTGTGTCCTGGGGACATTGTGTCCCTAACAGTAAAGAAGAGGAGGAGCAGGTGTATCTACCCGTGAGCAGGCGTTGTTTGGATGGTCTTCCAAGAAAGTTGGATGAAAAAGCTTAGAGTTCACCCATGGCCCTGTGATTCCTTGTATCATGCAGAATGATTACTACAGCCTAGCAGCCTGTGATTCCTTTTGTTTTTTAAGATTTATTTACTTATTTGAAAGTCAGAGTTACACAGAGAGGCAGAGGCACAGAGAGAGAGAGAGGTCTTCCATCTGCTGGTTCATCCCCCAGATGGCCACAATGGCCAGAGCTGTGCTGATCAGGAGCCAGGAGTTTCATCCAGGTCTCCCACACGGGTGCAGGGGCTTAAGGACTTGGGCCATCTTCCACTGCTTTCCCAGGCCATAGCAGAGAGCTGGATCGGAAGTGGAGCAGCTGGGACTCGAACCAGTGCCTATGTGAGACGCTGCACTGCAGGCAGCGGCTTTACCCCCTAGGCCACATAGCGGACCCTGAAGCCTGATTCTAATCCACTCTGAGGGGACCCAGCCTTTTCCACTTCCTCAGCACACAGGGGCTCCTGGGAACCATCTTGTCTGTGTCCTTTATGGGTGACATGGTGTTGGCCACAGGAGGTCACAATTAGTGCTCGTGAATAGGGTATGCACACACACCCCGTGGTACATGTTCTTCTGTCCTTGCGCTCATGGGAGGCCACACCCCAGCCACACTCACGACGTTGTCATGCCCTGGAATCTCCTTGCATTGATGGGTTATTTTCTGAGTCACTGGCTTCAGCCCCCGCTCTGGAAGCGAGTAGCCGGGCATGTGGCCACACCTTCCCTCCTGCTCCCTGCCAGCGCCTGGCTCGCTGGTCTTTGGGCTCTGCAGGACCTGGGTGCATCCCACGCCAGCCTGGGCATGTCTCTTTCTCACTCACACGCATTCCAGCTGCTCCTCAGCGAGACTCCACGGTCTTCTTGCTCCCGGGATTGCTGATCACTGTGAACATGGGAAAGATTTCAAACTTGGATTATTCAGTCTACTGGCCAAAGAAAGGTTTTGTTTTGTTTTTTTCACAATGACTCATTCACAATCCATCTTAAAGAAGGCTCAAGTGAATTGCATTTTGGAGGTTCCTGTGCATAAGGAAGAATTTGTCCTCTGAGTTTATCAGAATCTCAGACACCATCAGGCCAACTTTCTGATCTCCTCTGTATCCTACTCATCCTGCCCAGGGCTCTGTCCAACTTCTTCCCGATCTCCACCCTGGAACTTCCCTACGTGCCTCTTCTTGTCCTACATATCCCTGAGCCATCCTTCAAGATCCAACTCAAGTCCCATCTCCTCCATGAACCTCTCTTCCCTACCTGACTCACCCCTGCTGCGTAGCTGCAGTTATATGTGCAGTTAGCACCTCCCATCAAGGCTTGAGGCTATAGCAACCATCCCAAAACCAGTGTTGCACAACAATTCTGCCACTTGAGGCCGGGAATCATGGCACCCATGGTTCTCCCTCCTCTCCCTCCTGCTCTGTCAAAATCCTCCCTGCACCCCATGGGAGACCAGGATAAGTACCTGCCTCCTGCCTTTGGATCGGCGTGGTGCACCGGCCACAGCGCGCTGACAGTGGCGGCCATTGGAGGGTGAACCAATGGCAAAAGGAAGACCTTTCTCTCTGTCTCTCTCTCACTGTCCACTCTGCCTGTCCAAAAAAAAAAAAAAAAAAATCCTCCTTCTTCAATGCCCAGCTCAGATTTCAACCCCTCTAAGAAACATTCCGAGATTCCTTCCCAGCCCATGCAAGCTGAATGATCGGCCTCGTTAGCACTTGGGCTTCTGACTCTGTGACACGGCCCCGCCCCCCCAGTACATTACTTCTGAGAAGCACAGCTCGCCTCCAGGAGGTGGTACACAGATGCTGAGCTGAGATAGAAATACTCCCACAGCTATTGTGGAAGATGAGCTGCTCTCAAACTCTCTAATAAGGATTGGATTAAATTACTGATTTCACTATTGGCTCCCTTTGCAGATAGGCTGATGTGGGAAGTGTTTATGATATCATTATGCCCTCGGCCACAATCCATAGCATCTAAACCACATTGCACTCCTAACATTTATGGAAGAGAAAATATAGCCCAAGCTCAACTTTATGAGTACCACTGTCCCAAATTCCACTTGATCACACACCCAGAAGTGCTAAGGACCACCAACTTCCATCATCTCTAAAAATGTTTCTAAACCATACAATGAAAGTAATAAACATTCAGTTAAATGTTTACAACATGTTACATATCAACTTTCCTTTAAATGTAAATAGTTATACATAAAAAGGAAGTTTACTGTACAAGGGTAACATAAATAGGGGCTGGCGTTGTGGCACAGTGGGTTAGGCCACCAACTATGATGCTGGCAGCCCCTATGAGTGCCAGTTTGAGTCCCAGCTGTTCCAATTCTGATCCAGCTCCCTGTTAATGCATCCTGAAAAGTGGTGGAAGATGGCTCAAGTCCTTGGGCCCAGGAACCCATGTGGGAGACCCAGGTGGAGTTCCAGGCTGGCTTCAGCCTGGCCCAGCTCCAGCCATTGTGGCCATTTGAGGAGTGAACCAGTAGATGGAAGATCTCTGTCTGTGTCTCTCCTTCTCTCTACATAAAATTCTGCCTTTCAAATAATAAGTAAAATAAATCTTTTTTGAAAAATCAGCTCATTAAAAAAAGAATAGCATAAATAAAATTTCACCAATGGCTTAAGATTATAAATTAAATTATTTTAAAATCAGCACACTAATTGATTCTACACTTAAGATACCTACCCACCGTTCCTGGGGCCAGTGCTCTGACACAGTGGGTAAATCCACTACCTGCAGTGGTAGCATCCCATATGGGCATATGGGCACTGGTTCAAGTCCTGGCTGTTCCAATTCCCATCCAGTTCTCTGCTATGGTATGGGAAAGCAATAGAAGATGGCCCAAGTCCTTAGGCCCCTGCACCTATGTGGGAGACCCAAAAGAAGCTCCTGGCTCCTGGCTTCGGATTGACCCAGTTCCAGCCGTTGTGGCAATTTGGGGAACCAGTGGATAGAAGACATCTCTCTCTCTCTGCCTTTGCCTTTCTGTAATGCTATTCTTCAAATAAACAAATAAATCTTAAAAAAAAAAAATAGATACCAACATCTCCTATCAGAATGCCAGGGTTCAAGTCCCAGCTCTGCTTCCCATTCTAGCTTCCTGCTCATGTGGTCTACGGGAGGCAGAAGGTAATGGCTCACACATGGGAGATCTGGATTGACTTCTGGGATCCTGCTCATGTGGTCTATGGGAGGCAGAAGGCACACATGGGAGATCTGGATTGACTTCTGGGATCCTGGCCCAGCCCTGCTATTGCAAGCATTTAGGGCGTGAATCGGCAGATGGAAGAATGGAAGATTATCTCTCTCTCTCTCTCTCTCTTTCTCCCTTTCAAATAAAAGTAAATAAAAAATGTTAAAACAATATCAAAATTGTTTTTAATTTGGGATATGCTTGCATTTTAATTTGATTGATGGAGTCCCCAAGGGGAAGAACAGCTTGGGCCCATAAAGTTCTTAAAGGAGATATTATGCAATCCCTCCTACAAAATGCGAGTGAGGCGCACCTGAAACTGTATAAATAGCACCTTTCAGCTTTTCTTGAGTCTATGAATGCAACACTGAAGTCATATGGAAAGTTATTTTTATGACTTCAATCTTTTTTACTTCCCTTACCAGTAGCAGTAAACAGCTTTTGCTTTTGTTTGATTGTTTGTTTTGAAGAAACAAAGGTGTGTCTTTTTAGATACTAAACTGGAGACCTGAGCCTTGAAAGACAGCTTGGGACAAAGCAGGCCTCCCTTCACAGTGGCTCCTGGGCTGATGGCGCAGCCTACACTCCAGCTCTGGCTTATGCTTTCTTTTAAAAAAAATTGTTATATAAGGGAAACAAGTTTCACGTATCTCATATACACAGTGTTAAGAGCATAATGTTGCTTCCCACCCAGTGCCTCACTGCCAGCCAGGAGGTATTTAATTCAAATCTGGTCCTCAACCGCATTGCAAACCCCTGTAGAACTTTGGATATCTGCAAATGATTGACAGGGCTGCCAAAAGGCTCCTGGAGTGTTACTGAGAACAGAAGAATGCTCCTGAAGATTAGACACCCCTAGGAACCCTGGCGTGGACAAGAGGGAAAAGTGCCTGCCACAGAAAATCTGTTTGCAGGGACTTGAAATTCACAACAATCGATGGGGCTCCCCCTTTTGCAAAGTGGCAGATGAAAAAGAATGCTAAACAGTTCTGAGAAAGGATGCTGTTCCCTCATGATTTCTTCTCCCCCGCCGGCACTGCCTCCTGGAGATCCACGGTGGAGGACTTTGGGTGCAGGCTCCTGGAAGCCTGACCCAGAGGAAGCCCTTCTGGGTTTGGCGCTTACCCCAACCAGTCCTGGAAGGTGCCAGTTGACTCCCTTCCAGAGGAGTCTCCTTCAAAAGTTGCCAGAGGGATGGAACTCAAAGAAATAACCGTGAATTGGGGCTTATCAGAATGAGATCAGCAGGCTGAGGGCGTAGATAACACAGCCTCCCAAGAAGCAAATCGGCCTTCCCACTCACCTTTGCTCTCATGGTGAACAGACTTTGCTGCTCAAAATTTAACCTGCACCTGAACCTAGACGGTCAGATTTGCACCCTGTGGTTCTGAAATCTTCCAGACTTCTGCATGTCTGAAAATTTATATCCACCAGGAACCTAACCACCAGTATCTCAGATTGTGGTTTGGAGTCAGGAGCTACACAGAGGTGATTACATTAAAATGAGGCCCTCAGGGTGAGCCATGATCCAATCTGATTGGTTGCTGTCTTTGTAAGGCAAGATGAGGACACAGAGCAAGATCAAGTGTGTGTGTGTGTGTGTGTGTGTGTGCGCGCGCACACACAGGGGAAAGGCTGCATGGAGACCCAGCAGGAAGACAGCCTTCTGTAAGCCAAGGAGAGAGACCTTGGAAGAAGGGAAACCCTGCCAGCACCTACATCTTGCCAGCCTCTAGACTGGCAACAATAAACATCAGTCGGTTAAGCCACCCAATCTGGTATTTTTTCGTGACAGCCTTAGCAACCCAGTGCCCTTGGGGAAGCCAACTTGTATGGCAAGTACAAATACTTTCAGGGTACTTTTATCTTTAGTATCTAGGACACTAGACCTCAATGCAAACTCGCTTTCATTTGCTAGCCAGTACCTCTATATCCATTTTTTTTTCCAACTTCCTGCCGCTGATGGTGACAGTGTGAGCTCTTGAGACAGGAAGAGAGTTGTCTGAATTTATTGGGGCTCACAGCGATGCTGGGATCGCTTGTCTGACCTTGGACTCCAGTGGAAGAAGGCATGCGCCTTATCCCTGACTGGTGGGGTGACCCCTGGCACACTACCCTAAGGGGACTCTGTTTCCTAGGCAGGGACGGCTGTCTGAGAATATGGAGTTACAACGGGCGCTACCTGCACACCCTGAAGCACAGCAAGTCACTTCCTTCTAAGGGGTTCCAGAAAACAGTGATGCAAGGTGAGGCATTTGCAGTACATGTCCAAGAATCCAAAAGAGAGAGGACTTAGGAAGTGCGTAACAACCTCACATCCTTTCTCCCTGGCATTTCACTCTACTTAAATGACTCTAAACTTGTACGTAAGAGGCATGCGCTTCACGTAAACCTGTGTGCCCCCACCTGCCCCTGACACTTTTCTTCTTTCAGTTTGGGTGTATACCTGCTTTCTTAAGACACTGACTTGGGATCAGCGCTGTAGCGTAGTGGGTAAAGCTGCCACCTGCAGTGCCAGCTTCCCATATGGGCGCCGGTTCAAGTCCCAGCTGCTCTACTTCCAATCCAACTTTCTGCTATGGCCTGGGAAAGCAGTAGAATATGGCCCAAATCCTTGGGCCACTGCACTCACATGGGAGACCCAGAAGAAGCTCCTGGATCCTGCCTTTGGATTGGCGCAGCTCTAGCTGTTGCAGCCAATTGAAGAGTGAACCAGCAGATAGAAGACCTCTCTCTCTCTCTCTCTCTCTGCCTCTCCTTCTCTCCCTGTGTAACTCTGACTTTCAAATAAATAAATAAATAAATAAATCTTTAAAAGAAGAAGAAGAAGACGACGACGACATTCACTTTTCTAAACATCTGCACATCACATGTGCAGCAAACCTAAAGTGAGTGTCTTCCCCTGATGGTGTGTTTCCCTCCACCCCCCTCCCCAAGCTGCTTACCACATTTTTTTTCTCCTGTTGTCTATTCTTGCTAAAAATGTCCTAATTCCAGCATGTGAAACTCCTACAAGGAAGACAAGACGCAAACACTCTCCAGCTATCAGAGAAGGAGAAACAAAGTCAGAGACCAAAGGGCAAAGGGATGAACCAGAAGCTTGAGAGACATTCAAGCTTGAGCTTGGGATTCCTGGCTCTGCCTTGGACCTGCACACGATCATTCACTGATCCAAACAATCAACCAGTATCGTGGCCTATTAGGGTCTGGCCAGGAGAATGCGAGCTTCTTCCCACAGGAGAGCAAGGGCAGCATCAGCATCCCAGGGGACTGAGGGTGTCAGTGTCAATAGTACTTTAACGGCCTGAGAGCCACCTAACCTCAAAAGCAGGTAGGCCGCCCTTACCAACACGCTTCTCACCTGTGGACCCAAACAACTGCTAATCAAAAAGACTTTTTTCTTTTTTAAGGGATTTATTGTATTTTATTTGAAAGGCAGAGTGACAGCGAGAGAAGAGGAGGTAGAAAAAGAAAGATATCTTCCATTCACTGGTTACTCCCAAAGTGGCCACAACAGCCAACAGGGGCTGGGCCAGCCTGAAGCCAGGAGCCAGGAATTCTATCCGGGTCTCGTGTATGGGTTGCAGGGGCCCAAGTACTTGGGCCATCTTTCACTGCTTTCCCAGGCACGTCGGCACAGAGTTGGAACAGAAGTGGACCAGCCAAGACTTGAATCTGTGTTCCAACATGGGATCCTGGGGTTGCAAGCAGTGTTCATCGGTACTGAACATGTAAGCCTTTTTTTTCTTGTCATTGTTCTCTAAACAATATAGCAGAACAACTATTTACACAGCACCCACTTGTATTAGGTATTCTAAGTAATCTAGAGCTGATTTAAAATATGCAGGAGGGTTGTGTAGGTTCTATACAAATACTATGCCATTTCTTTTAAGGGACTTGAGCATCCAGGGATATTGATGTCCATGGGGTCCATGAAAAAATTCCTGTGGATTGAGGGCCAGCGCTGTGGCTTAGTGGGTAAAGCCACCGCTTGCAGTGCTGACATCCTGTATGGGCACCGGTTCAAGACCCAGCTGCTCCATTTCTAATCCAGCTCTCTGCTGTGGCCTGGGAAGGTAGTGGAAGATGGCCCAGGTCCTTAGGCCCCTGCGCCCACGTGGGAGACTGGGATGAAGTTCCTGGCTTCAGATTGGCTCAGCTCTGGCCCTTGCAGCCAATTGAAGAGTGAACCAACCAGAGGATGGAAAACTTCTCTCTCTCTCTCTCTCTCTGCCTGCCTCTCCTTCTCTCTGTGTAACTCTTTCAAGTAAATAAATAAATCTTTAAAAAAAAATTCCTGGCTGGTGCCATGGCTCAATAGGCTAATCCTCCACCTGCGGCGCCAGCACACTGGGTTCTAGTCCCGGTCGCGATACCGGATTCTGTCCTGGTTGCCCCTCTTCCAGGCCAGCTCTCTGCTATTGCCCAGGAGCGCAATGGAGGATGTCCCAAGTGCTTGGGTCCTGCACCCCATGGGAGACCAGGAGAAGCACCTGGCTCCTGGCTTCGGATCAGCCCGGTGCGCCAGCCACAGCTCGCCAGCTGCAGCGGCCATTGGAGGGTGAACCAACGGTAAAGGAAGACCTTTCTCTCTGTCTCTCTCTCTCTCTCACTGTCCACTCTGCCTGTCAAAAAAAAAAATTCCTGTGAATAATGAGGGAAATGCCCTCAAGTTTTGCCCAGTCATCAGTTGGATTACATGAATGTGTATAAGCTGATTCAAGAATCAATAAAGAAAAATGTTTAATAAAAGATATTATTATATTTCCAAGTGAAAAACAAGTGAAGTCCGTGATTGCACCTACATGGAGGTGAACCAAAATAAGTGAGTTGTGTTCAGCTTGGGTACCAGAAGGGTGGACACAAAGTTTGTCTTGGAAGAGGATGCTTAAACAATGAAGCGAATCTTCCAGAAGAAACCGTGCCAAGGCATTCCCAAGGATCCCATTGCTCCCTGGTGGTGATTTAGGCAACTAGATTCCTCTAGAATTCTGGAGCAATTCTCTACACATGTTGACAATTGTTTAGAAGTAGCACTAGAAAGCACTGGATCGGGGCCAGGGCCATGGCTCACTTGGCCTGTGGCGCCAGCATCCCATATGGGCTCCAGGTTCTAGTCCTGGCTGCTCCTCTTTCAGTCCAGCGCTCTTCTGTGGCCCGGGAGTGCAGTGGAGGATGGCCCAAATGCCTGGGCCCTGCACCCGCATGGGAGACCGGGAGGAAGCATCTGGCTCCTGCCTTCAGATCAGCGCAGTTCCAGCTGTAGCGGCCATTTGCGGGGTGAACCAGCAGAAGGAAGATCTTTCTCTCTGTCTCTCTCACTGTCTATAACTCTACCTGTCAAATAAAAAAAAAAGCACTGGATCTCTCCCTGTGTTTGAATAGTTGGGGCCAGGTTCCTGTCTGATACAGGAGACACAAGCAAATTACGTGGAAGAAGATTCATTTGCAAGCGGAACCTACACACTAGAGAGGGAGTGCAGGCATGCTGGAGAGTGAGCCGCTCCAGTGAGCAGGTCCAGGCCATCCCTTTATATGATCCGGAGACACAGAGGGCAGTGTCTGGGACAAGGTTTAATTGAAGATTCGCAGGGGCAGGTTTGAGCACTGCTCATTTTCTGGCCATTTTTTGGAAGTGTCATGGCATCAGATGCATGATGGGAGTAGATGAATCATCATGGTAATTTTATTATAATGGCATCGTAATAGGTAATAACAGGTCATTCGGGGTGGGGAAGGACACAGCCAGCAGCCATGTTGGCTATTTGGGGCTGGTGCCAGTTCTGGGTGGCAGCTTTGCAGAAATAGTAATTTTCCACAGCACTAAAGTGGGAAGGGGGTTTGGGTGGATGAGGCAAGGTCTTAGGGGAGGGCTCATGAGCTCAGCTCCTCCTCTCTGCCTTGGCCACCTCCACTAGTATCATCCCCACCAAATGCTTTATTAAGAATGAAATCAGAGCCAGGAGTGATTGAATTTGGCCACCATAAGTCAAAGAACAGAAGCCGGGAAAATTCCCTCCTGCACACCAGAAGGGTGAAAGCAGGTGCTGGTCAGTGTCTATTGGTGCCTTCACCCTGTGGCCCAGCCATGCTCAGCACATCAGTGGTCCCTGGGGAGTCACCAGCAACAAGTGACCACTGCCGGCCTTGAGAACCATGGGATGCCCTGGTCCTGTTGCCTGATGCTTGAAGCACCCTCTGAAAGCCTGACTCTAAGTTACCAAATCCCACTTTATCTTGTTCTTCAGAGGAAGCAGAAGAGATTATATTCTTGTTCTCTCATATGGCACAACTGAACCACAGTGTTGATTCCATATAAAAGTTAACTGGATGAGAAGCTCGAGTATCAACATGAACCTCTGCTGTTGTTCTGGGTGTATCATAGCTGTTGGATGGGACAGAAGAATAAATGTGTACTTTGTAAGTAACATGATTATATTTCAAAGTACTCCCCCTTTTCCTTTTAAAAATAGATTTGGGAAAATTCTGTCTGCCTCTACTATCTGGCACAAGTCAAGCTGTGACGTAGACAAAAGATGTTCAGTCCCTTCCTTTCTTCCTCCTCTCTTTCCTTCCTTCCTTATTTCTTTTCTTTTTACCTCACTTGCTTCATAGTTCCTTTGTTCTGGTTTCCTTCCATGGGAAGAAACACCAGCTAGAAAAGCTATCATGGCCAGAGGGGGCAGCCTGGGGACACCTGCGGCTCTTCCCCTGGCCTCTTCTGCATTGCCCGCTTGCCTTACCCTTGAGACGGGCAGGCTGTGGTGCCCTCTCCCCAGGTGCAGGATCTCCCAGCGACATCTCACTTCCCCTTCATCACCTGCCATCGCCCAGCCTTCCCTTCCTCCCCTCTTCCTCCTGTCTTGTCTGTATATCCTGGTCTCTTTGTAAATAGAGAGAGGGAATGAAATGCCATCTGTAAAGAGCTCTACCTAAAGAAAATTCTCCGTGTGTGAATGATTAGAGATGGGGAAAGGGATGAATAGACAGGGGGAGTTGAAAGTGTTGGAACCCAAGTCTGACATTGACATGTAGTGCGTTTTATTTCTCCTGCTTGCTATGCTGGATGGTCACGGAGATTTCCAAACGGCTTCAAACCTTGTAAATTCTTCATTCATTTCACAGCCTAAGCCTTGCATCCTTCGACTCATTTGAGAGAAGACTACCTGGGAAGTCTCGGCGTTGAACTTGTCCTTTAGAGTTATAGGTCCCTGGGCTGACGGCTTTGGTTTTAGCGCATGTGAGAGCTGTGGGTCTTATTATGAGGGTGAAGCTATGCAGCCCGTGGAACAGAGCTTGTCAGCTGACATATGATTTGCTGCAATGCAATCACCCACACATCAGAAGCGGATTGCTTTTTATTCCCACTGGCATTAGGGGAATTTGCTTTGACATTTCAAAAATCTGCATGGCTGGTGCGGTGGGGGGTAGGGTTAGAAAATATGCCAGTGCCCTCTCTCTGAAGTTGGGAGTGTGTTGGCAGCTCATTCATCCCTTGTACAATGTCCCCTCCTGGCTTTGAATGCAGGACTCACCATGTGACTTGCATCACTTCTGGGAGCCACAACCAACTGGCAAGGCGACCTGGTGAGGCCCGGTTCACTGTTTGACTCTCAGCCCACACAGTGGCACACATGGAGGTCTCTTGCGCTCCAGAGGCTCTCCCGAGTTCTGGACCTATTCAGGCGGGCACAGCCATCAGCAGCCCTGGCTGTGGCAGCATTGTGACGGAGTCTGGCACAGCCAGCAGCACTGAGCTCCCAGCAGTCACTTCCCCTACATGTTCAGGCTGGAATGTGAGGCCAGAGGGTCAAGTCCATGCAGCTCTTCCCAAGTCCAGCTGGGAGTCCCATCGTGCAGGAAAGGCAGCTCGGGGATGGGCTGTGTGTCATTTTCCTCAAGAAAGCACCCATCTCCTGCTCTTGCTTGGTGTGAATTCACTGTGCAATTCTTAGGCAGCCAGAGAGTCCAGGAGGTGACAGTACTGCTGCCCTGTGTCTTGTTAGGGCCCGCAGCCATGAGACTGCTTCTGAGTCTTATTAGGACTTACCAGCGCTCAGGCTTTCTACAGCTCCCTGGGCCTGAATCAGTGCCCTCAAAATCATCTGGATGCCAAGCCAATATGACACATATCAAGAAAGTAAGGTCACCATTCCCAATCGTCTGCCACTTTCTCTACTTCATGGACCCTGTAAGTATTCCAAAAGGCACAAGTCACTAGAATACAAATTCTATGAAGACAGATCTTGTTGAATTCTATTTTTTATAATTACTTATTTAAGATTTATTTATTTTATTAGAAAATCAGAGTTACACAGGGAGAGAAGGAGAGGCAGAGAGAGAGAGGTCTTCCATCCGCTGGTTCACTCTCCAACAGTTGGAGCTGTGCCACAACAGTCGGCCACAACAGTCGGAGCTGTGCCAATCAGAAGCCAGGAGTCTGGAGCTTCCCCCGGGTCTCCCATGTGGGTGCAGAGCCCCAAGGACTTGGGCCATCTTTTATTGCTTTCCCAAGCCATACTAGAGAGTTGTATTGGAAGTGGAGCAGCCGGGACTTGAACCAGTGTCCATATGGGATGCTGGCACTACAGGCGGTGGCTTTACTCACTATGCCACAATGCTGGCCCCAGATATTGTGGAATTCTTGGGACTTAGCCCTGTGCCTGTTTTTTTGTTTGTTTGTTTGTTTGTTTTTTGACAGGCAGAGTGGACAGTGAGAGAGAGAGACAGAGAGAAAGGTCTTCCTTTGCCGTTGGTTCACCCTCCAACGGCCGCCGCAGCCGGCGCACTGCGCTAATCCGATGGCAGGAGCCAGGTACTTCTCCTGGCCTCCCATGGGGTGCAGGGCCCAAGCACTTGGGCCATCCTCCACTGCACTCCCTGGCCACAGCAGAGAGCTGGCCTGGAAGAGGGGCAACCGGGACAGAATCCGACGCCCCGACCGAGACTAGAACCCGGTGTGCCGGCGCCGCAAGGCGGAGGATTAGCCTAGTGAGCCGCGGCGCCGGCCTGTGCCTGTTTTTTAGTAGTGGCCCAGTAAATACTCTTTCTTTATATTTTTTAAAAAGATTTATTTTATTTATTTGAAAGACAGAGTTACAGAGAGAGGAAGAGACAGAGAGAGGACTTCCATCCGCTGGCTCACTCCCCAGATGGCCGCAACTGCCAAAGCTGTGCTGATCTGAAGCCAGGAGCCAGGAGCTTCTTCCGAGTCTCCCACATGGGTGCAGGGGCCCAAGGACCTGGGCCATCTTCTACTGCTTTCCCAGGCCACAGCAGAGAGCTGATCGGAGGAGAAACAGCTGGGACTCGAACCAGTGCCCATATAGGATGCCGGTGCTTCAGGCCAGGGTTTTAACCTGCCCCAAATACTTTTTTTTTCAACCAGCATCTGGTAGATGCCTGTTGCAGACCAAGTGTGTGTTGTTGACTAGAGATCCATCAATGAGCACCTGCCTTGTGGTCCCTGCTTTCACGGAGCTTGCAGTTTGGTGAATGCCGAGTGAAAGAACAAACATATACAGAAAATGCCCCAGGGAAGAAGCCGAGCGTGAGTCAATGAGCTACCTATTCAGCCAGTGTTCCATCCATTCACACAATGCATCGAGCCCTGGTGTTCAGTGCTGTCCTTAGTTGATAGGAGTACAATCCAGAACTAGAAACATGAATAAAATGATACCCCTGGCCTCCAGGATCTCACAGCCTGATGAGGGGATGCAAACCTGAGAAAATACTAAATCCTGAATGTGACAGCCAATCTAAAGACACTCACAATAATGGAGAGGCGCAGAGGCAGCACTCACTGACTTTGTTCTAACATCACACAGGATATAATAGCTGGCTAGGGTTTTAACAGAAGGGAAAGCAGTCTAACCAGGGGAAAGGATTAAACACGAAAGAAGCCTAATTACACAGAAAGCACGTTGTTTGGAAGGACTTTGGAAAGTTTGAGGGTGTTGAGCACAGGAAAGAAAAGCATTGGAAAATTCTCTTAGGAATTGAAAGCCATGCCAAAAAACTGTCTGGGCCAGCTCAGGCTGCCTTCACAGAATGCCACAGACTGGGAGGCTCAAACAACGAAGTGTATTTCTCACAGTCCTGGAGGCTGGAAGTCTGAGATCTGGATGCCAGCATACATGAGTTCTGGTGAGGGCTCTCCTCCTGGCTTGCACATGGCCGCCTTCTCATGCGACCTCTCGTGGCTGAGAGAGAGCAAGCCTCTGGTGTGGCTGCTTATGCGGGCATTGATCCTGCTGTGGTAGCCCCATCTTATAACCTCAGCAAACCCTAGTTACGGCTAGGAGACCCCTTCTCCAAATGTCATCATGCTGGGGTCTTAAAGCTTAGGCACATAAATAAATCTGGCGGGGTGGATGCACACATTCAATTCATAATGGATATGTAAACCCCACTCCTTAAGAAAGCAGCTATGGAAGGAGGACCCCAGACCTAAACATTCACAACCTGCAAAGTATGCTGGGATGGGAGCCTGGAAGCACAGAATTGTAGGAAGGAGGTGGCCTTTGACTTCCTCTTTGCCACATCTTTGTGTTTAAGCAGAAGAGGTATAGGAAGCAATTGTCGATGGGTCCTCAGGGGACATTCTGTGGCAAGTATGCCAGGGAGGGGGAGAAAAAATATCATTCCAGGGACAAGAGAAGTCCATGCTCTTCCCACAGTAACTGCCTCCCGAGGAGAATGTTGACAGGGTCATGTCCAGGGACACTGTGCACTCAGCAGCACTGGTCTTCCAAAATCCATTTTGGTGTCTTACCTTTCCTAAGTGTCTATGTATGGCCAACTCTTTGATACTATAACAAAATACCTGAGGTGAGCTACTTTACAAAAAGAGGTTTGTAATCCACTGTTGGTTGGAATGTAAACTAGTAAGCTATTGTAGAAGCCAGCATGGAGATACCTCAGAAAGCTGAAAATAGGTCTACCATGTGACCAGAAATCCCACTCCTGGGAATTTACCTAAGGGAAATGAAATCAATTAACAAAAGAGCTATCTGTACCTCCATGGTTATCATAATAACTAAGATATGGAATCAACCCAGATGTCCATCAACTGATGCCTGGATAAAGAAATTATGGTGTGTGTGTGTGTAGTATTATTCAGCCATAAAAAATAATGAGATCCTGTCGTCTTTTGCAACAAAATGGATGAAACTGGGAATCATTATAGTTAGTGAAATAAGCCAGTCTGCAAAAGACAGATTCCATATGTTTTCCCTAATCTGTGTTAACTAAATAGAGTACCAAAAACATAATGAATAGGAGTGAAATAGACATTTTGAGATTTGATGATTGTTTACAGCCCCTGTCTCTACTGTTGAGGAACATTGCTTTTTCTTCTTACTATTTGTTGAACTCTTTACTTAATGTAGGGTTAATCTTATGAGTATAAAGTAAACTGAAAGTAGGTCATTGTAAAAATAAAGAGAAGGAATAAGAGGGGAAGGAGGAGGAAGTGTGGGAGCATGGGTGGGAGGGAGGGTAGGGTGGAAAGTATCACCATGTTCCCAAACCTGTACATATGAAATACATGACATTTGTTCACCTTAAATAGAAAAAATAAATTAAATAAAAAGAGGTTTATGTAGGTGCCCTGTTCTGAAGGCACAGGGGCTGGGAGCTGCCTCTGCTGATGCCCTTTGTGCTGAGAGTCCTGAGGAGGTGCAGAGCATGCGCTGGTGAATGACAGGGTGCGTGGCATTTGGCACTGTGTCTCTCTCCCTCTGCTTATAAAGCAGTCAGGAGCCAGTCATGGAAACCCCACCCTCATGATCTTATCTGATCCGAATCACATCCCCAGATGCTCCATCTTTAGGCATCAGATTCAGGTTAAGTTTCTTCCCTTTTAATACCTCATGACGGGGGTCAAATTTCACTAGATAGAACCTCGGGAGGGGGGAGGTGCGGACCACACCCAAACCAGAGCACGGCACATCCAAAACCACTCCTTTCAAGGAGAAGCACATGCCATCCCCCTCTACCGGCACATGTAAGCCCCAGTGTGGGGCAGATGGGTGTCCCATAGCAACTGAGTCATGGTACACCCTACTCGGAGGGTTACGCCTTCGGCTGCTGGGAAGTAACCTTGGCCAGTGCTCGGGTCCTTTTGTCGCATTTCCATCAACACTGCAGCCCCAGTGAGGCGCCTTGTGAATCATCTGCCTGCCGGCAGCATGGTACAGCAAGGAAGCTGCTGGGAGTAAGGGTTTCCTGGGAAAGATAAGGTCCCCAGAGAGGGTGAAAACTGACCCAAGGAGATTCCACCCCTCTCTGGCTGGGACAGACCCTACATAGAAGGATGGGGACTTCCAGGTGGACAGTGAATGTGGGCAGCCCACCCCACCCCTGCATCAGGTGAAGGAAAGTTAGCTGTGTGTGCTCTGGGATGTGATTTCTTAACTCTGCCCCATTTTCTCTCTCTCTCTCTCTCTCTCTCTCTCTCTCTCTCTCTCTCTCAGAACCAGGAAGACATCCTGTGTGTGGCCCAATGCCCACCCTTTCTCCTTGCCACCTCCAGTTATGATGGGGAGATTGTCATTTGCAATGTCATCTCAGGCCACATCAGGCAAGTTGAATGGTCCCAGCCCCTCAGAGGGCCTGGACCATGGAGAAGAAGGTAGGTGAAGGGCAGGCCCTATGGCCACTTTGCACCAGCCCTTGCTGGCAGATTAGCTGAAGGAGCCTCATCCTGGACACTCCCCCAGTTAGAAGGGATGTGCTTGGCTTCGTGGTTGACTTGTCAAGTGGAGATTCCCAAAGCTGAATGGGAGCTTAAGAGTTCAGTTAGCCCAGCCACTCCCTGGGTACCTGTCCATCAAAGTCCATCTTACTGGCCAGCCTACCACCTGAGAAGCCCCATTCATCCACTGCAACCTGAAACATGCTCTGTACCTCCAAGAGCATCTTGGATGTTGCTGTTACTTTTTTAAAAATGTATTTATTCATCTTTATTTATTTGAGAGACACACTGACAGACAGAGATTTCCCATCTGCTGGTTCATTTCCCAAATGCCTGCAACAGCCAGGGATGGGCCAGACAAAAGCCAAGAGCCAAGAACTCAATCTGGGTCTCCCATATGGGTGGCAGGGTCCCCAGTATCTGAGCCATCACCTGCTGCCTCCCGAGGTGCACATGAGCGGGAAGCTGGAATCAGACGCATCCCAATATAGGATGCTGGTGTCTCAACACAGTGTCTTAACTGCTAGGCCAGATGCTCACCTCAGCTCTTACTTGAACCCCTCTTCATTCTATTCTCACTTGCCATAGGCTTCTTGCACCCCACCAGCAGCCCGCTCCTCCAGTCCAGCTCCCACATCCCCTCCCTCCTCCTTGGTACCACATTCCTCTTCATGTCATCAGACTTTACACCATTCTCATCTTGTATGCCCTCTCTGGTGATCCACAGTCCCCTAGGCCCCCTAGGCCTGTCCTTACTGTGTACAGTATGTTGAATTGCAAATACCTCCCCACTCTCCACCTCATCCTTATCATTTTTCTGCCCTGGTTCCATGTCTTCAAGGCCATCTCTCTCTCTCTCTCTCTCTCTCTCTCTCTCTCTGCTGCTAACATGATCATGGGTTCAGTCATTCATTTATTTATTAAAAATACACTGATGAACACCTGTTCTGTATCTGGTACAATGCTGGGGGTGAGCTCGGGGCTGTCATCACATCTCTCTACCTCCAAGTCCTAAAGCATTCCATAAACACACATGGGGAACAAGTGGAGGATTTAGATGTTCCATTGCTGGCTGTGCTGCATTGGAAAATCGGCTGGAACCTGGAGCCAAGTGGACTTCCTTGCAACCACTTCTCTCCCACCTCCAAAGCCTAGGCTCTTCCTTTCCAAGCAGCAGTCTACAGACACCCATCTGCTGTGGAGCCCTGCTGCAGGAAATACAAGGAGTTGAGCATTTTTGCATAAAATTAAGGAGTTGTATTTTCCAAGACCCAACTAGCAAATCCTTTGAGAGTCATGAGCCCCAGATTAAGATGTCCTGCTTTAGGCATGTGGTAATTTCTTAGCCAAGGAAACCTCCAGTGACTCATTCAGTCAACAAATACCTTCGAGCTGCTCCCACGGGCATAAGCCTGTGGGAGATGCGAAGAGGGAACCAGTGCATTAGGATGCCTGGTACCATCCTCCAGGGGCTCATGATCTAAGTTCAGAGATAAGGTGTGCACATCCAATACGTAAAATTGTGCCGAAGCCATGCTCTTGGCCCTGGAGTGACCGAGAGTGACCCTGGAGGGCAGCAGTTAGAAACGGCAACTACTGGACTCCAGGACGTGCCAAGGCCATTCTTCCCTGCACACACATTGAGTTTATTTTCCTATCCTACCCTTGCTACCCATAACAAAGATCATTCTATGAAGCTCTGTCTGGGAGTGTCTCAGAGTTTTTCAAATCTTTGGAGAAGAAGCAGTGGCATTTCCTTCTAAAGGTTAATTTTCATTGCCATTGAAACAAAAAAATAAAGTCACTGGCCAAGAATGTGATAGTCACCTTTCAGCCAGCAGAACTAATTTAAAACCCTGTTTGCAGCAGCAGTTATGGCTCAAGTCGTGTGATTGATGGTTCTGCAAAACCCTTGTTCTGCTCCAAAAATGCAAAGACAGCCATAGCCAATGGCTTATCGTTCATGTTGCAAAAATTATAAAAGTGAGGTACGATACGTGAATATTCCACAAGCCTCCAGGAAAGAACCATCCTGGCTCTTGTTGAAGGTTGAGAAAATGAAAACACAGCACTCTTCCTTACACGGCATTGGTGAAGGGGGGAACATATTTGAAAACCATGTGGACCATTATTCTTTTAAATTTTTTTCTTTATTCCTATTTATTTAAAGGAAGAGTGCCAGAGAGTAGAAAGAGACAGAGAAAGAGAGAGAGAGATCTTCCATCAGCTGGTTCCCTCCCCAAATGCCCTCAACAGACAGGGCTGAGCCAGGCTGAAGCCAGGAGCCAGGAACAGAATCTAGGTCTCTCACATGTATTTCAGGGACCCAAACACTTGAGCCAAAATTGCTGCTTCCCAGGGTTTGCATTAGCAGGAAGCTGGACAGGAAGCAGAGATGGGATTCAGTCCCAAGCACTCCGATGCATTCCAAACAATGGTTTACCCCACTGTGCTGCCACTCCCACCCCTAGATAGTTCTGCCAAAGTTATTCTTAGAAAAGAGAAAGGCAATTGTGCAAACAAAGCCACATGAGCTAAAAACATGTTCTTTCAGCCAATTTCTCCAAATTTCAGCTTCATTCTTCCTTTTTGTTGGATTTGTCACTTCTTTCCTCATATCAAACAAAAAGAATTCAAGGGGCCAGCATCATGGCGTAGCGGGTAAAGCCGCCACCTGCAGTGCCCGCATCCCATATGAGCACTGGTTCAAGTCCCAGCTGTACCACTTCCCATCCAGCTCTCTGCTGTGGCCTGGGAAAGCAGTAGAAGATGTCCAGGTCCTTGGGCCCCTGGACCCACATGGGAAACCCAGAAAAAGCTTCAGGCTCCTGCGTTGTGATCCGCCCAGCTCCAGCTATTGCAGCCATTTGGGGAGTGAACCAGTGGATGGAAGACCTCTCTCTGTGTCTCTCCCTGTCTCTGTCTCTGCCTCTTTGTAACTCTGCCTTTGAAATAAATAAATATTTTAAAAAAATAAAAAGGATTCAAGAGTAAAATCGAGAAATTTCAAACACACTAAAACACAGAAAACTTGTGAGTTTACTGGGAGAAAAAATATTTTATCTAAGCAAGAATAGAGCAGTATTTGTTGGGTGCCTCTAATACGTCAGAAATTTTCCTGAGTGCTTTTAATATTGTATGTCAGAGACCCCAAGAGACAGGTGGTATTGTACCTATTTTCAAAACATGAGGGAACCGAGGATGAAGAGTTGCCTAGCAAGAGTTGTAACAGCTCCATTTGTGGAGAGTCTCTGCCAGGCCCTTCAGCTTCATCAAATGCCCTCAGCCTTCGCAGCAAGGACATGGGCGTTGTTCTCGAAGTGCCTTGGTCAACCCCCTTTAATTCCCTATGAATCAGGCAATCTCCACATCACAGGTGGAGAAAACTGAGCTTCACGGAGGAGAAATACAAGAGTTCTTCAAATGTTTGTAGAAAAATTAAATCAAAAGAGAAGTTTATTTTGGTGCAAAAAGATTTAGAAATCCATGCATAGGTTTTTCTACAACATGCATTTTCCATGAACTTTTAAAGACCCTTCCTTTGTACATGAATTTCAAAAAAGATTTCACATCAAAGTGAGCTTACGTTTATTCCACTTTCCACAGACCCTCTGAAGTTCCCACGTGCTCTTGTAGACTCCACCTGGATGATGCAGGTATTTGAGGAAGCCAGCAGGCACCCCCATTCCCTGGGCTTCCAGCCTCTCTTCCAGGACACAGGCAGACAAGTGAAGGGAGTTTGTCCTCGTGTCCCTTCTCCCTTCCTTGCCCTGAGTCCAACACGCCCAGGAGCCCGATAGCCCCAGAGTAGAGTGGTGCTTAGCTCACATTGCTGGTGGTGCCTTCCAGGCATCAGGGAGGCCACTGGGGCGAAGGAGCCAGGCAGGAGCCACACCTCCAGGTGGGCAACACCCCATTCTGCCGCCTCCAGAACTCAGCCCCTGTGGACCCCCACAAAGCACCCTGTCGAGATCCTAGGCTTTGGAGGCAAACACCTGGGTTTGGACCCTAAACTCCCCCACGAGAGCTGTGTGACTGGGGCCACGTCTGATTCTTTCTGAAAGCATCTGTCTCCCTGTAAGATGGATGCACAGTGCCTGCGTGCCCATGTTTGCGATCATGAAATACAGCCATGCTGGGACAGTGCCCACCTTGGGGCCAGGCGAGTAACAGTGAGTGGCCTGAACTGAACAGTCCTCCTTGCTGCCATCAGCCCCCTCGAGGGCAGGGCCCTGTGTCTGCCGTGTCCTCTGTAGCTCCCAAGTGACAGCGCGGCCCTGAGCTCACAGACAAGCCGAAGAAGTAGTGTTGCGTGCTAGCCGACGGGCGGCATCGTGGAGAGATGTGTTGTATCAACTGCGGCACCAACCCCATTGTTCATACTGTCCGTCAGGCTGCTGTGACAAAACACGGTAAGCCAGATGCTTTATAAGCGACGAAACTTCTCTCTCATGGCTCTGGAGGCCGGAAGTCTGAGATCAGAGAGGCAGCAAGGCTGGGTTCTTGTGAAGGAACCCCCTCCTGGGCCCAGCCTGTGACTTCCTGCATCATCATGTGACAGGAAGACAGCAAGTGCGCCCCTGGGGCCCCTTTTGTGACCCCATCGGAAGGGGCTTCACCCTCATGACCTCCCCAGGCCCCACCTCCAAACACCATCACACTGGGGAGAGGGCTGCGGCCACTCAGTGCTCGACAAGCCCTTATACATAAGACCATTCATCTTCCCTCCAGTGTGGGCCATGCACCCCTGGAGCCCCCAGCCTCAGGGGGAGTGGGATTAGGAGAGCCTGTGCCCAGGCTCCCTCTTTCCAAGGGACCACTTTCTTCATGGCTCTTGCGGGTTTGGATCTAAGTAGGTTTGCAGGTTTTTTCACCAAGAGCAAACACTGGAGTCCTCTGTCCTAAGCACGCTGAGCCGACAGGGGATGAGCAGCAGTAAGGCGGAGGGGCCTTGCGTGGTCTAGTAGAGGAGTGGCAGACTGAGGAAGGAGCAGGTGCATCAAGAGTGAGCCAGGGCTTTAGCCATGTTGTGGAGGCCTGGGTTTGCCACCTGCCTCCCCCTGGAGGGCCCTCTCTGCCCAGTGCCAGTCCCATCTTTCAAGATTCCAGCAAAGCCAGCCTCCCCTGAGCCACTGTCTGCGTCCCTGTCCCTCCACACACAGCAAAGCACTCTACAGCACAAGCTGATGGCGTCTGTCCCTTCCTTGGGAGCAGTCCCTGCTATTTTGGTTAGGGTCTCTGCTTCTCTTCTTTCTGTGGTGCTGGGCACATGCCAAGTCCCTGAGACACACATAACAGATGGAGATTTAAAAAAAATAGATAAATAAGTAAATGTGGTAATGAATGGACATCTTTGCGGTCTTGGTCCCTTCCTGGCTGACAACAGGACTGACAAGAGTCCCCTGTGCGTGAAAGCCAGTGGCGCATGTCCAAGGTGCTGTAAGGGTTAATCCACTTTATTCCAACCAGGCACTCCTGGGAAGGAGGTACCCTTGGCAAGTATCCACGCACCCCAGGCTCAGCCCCTGAGCACCTGCTGGGTATCTCAGAACTCTCAGCCCCTCCCTCCTGCCCCTGTCAAGTCTCCTGGCCCTGTCTCTCTCCAGGCTGCCAGGGCCGTTAGCCTCTCTGTCGGACTGGCCCCTACTGAGCAGGCTGGTGGGGCTCTCTGCCAGGGTGGCGGCCACCTGTGCCTCCCTTGGTGTCTGAATGTCCACTGGAACCAATCACGGGGGTGGGGGTGAGGGACTGTGCAGAGGCTGGGGCAGGGAACAGGGAGGCGCGCGCTGTGGGTGGAGGAAGAGGAAGAGCCACGAAGCTTTCCCCCATGGCCAGGCCCAGACGGCGGTGTCTCCTGCCTCGCCTTCCTGAAGATGCAGGTGGCCAAGTTGGACTTGCCGGCTGCTTCACTCATGGCCAACGGGCCCAGAGGTAAGGCCAGAGCTCCATGCAGGCGAGTGTCCCTCTTTCCTAAGACCGGTCACTCTGAGCCCAGCTGCACAAGTTGGGGTCCCTAAGATTCACCTCCCACCCCCTGCTCCCTCTGCCTTATTCTGTCTTTAGGGACTGGACTATCTGGCTGCTCCAGATTCAACCTCTCCTCTAGGGAGGTGATGAGCTGCAGCTTGGACTCTGCCCCTACCTCCTCAGAATCCCATCTCCCTGCTTCATGGCCCCTACCAGCCCCACCCGCCAGCTGCCGGGGGCATGGTGGCTCTGGCCAGCACAGGCTTTCAGGAAAAGGTGCGCCAGCAGCCGTGGGCAACTGAGGGAGGAGTCCAGGCAGGCGAAGCAAAGAGCCCCATGGTGTGGTGTGGGCGGGGCCACAGGTCCCTTGGGCAGCCTGCTCCTTCTGGGAGGAGGAAGAGGGCCCCTTTCCCCCGGAGCTGGGGGACGTCCTCTGGGGCCAGAGCCACCTCGATCAGTGAGACAACATTAAACAAGTAGCATGGGGGCTGCTGTGGATTAACGCCCTGGCCTGAAGCACCAGCATCCCATATGGGCGCCGGTTCGAGGCTTGGCTGCTCCACTTCCGATCCAGCTCTCTGCTATGGCCTGGGAAAGCAGTAGAAGATGGCCCAAGTCCTTGGGCCCTTGCACCCGCATGGAAGATTCGGAAGAAGCTACTGGCTCCTGACTTCAGATCGGCGCAGCTCTGGCCATTGTGGCCAACTGGGGAGTGAACCAGCGGATGAAGACCGACCTCTCTCGGCCTCCCTTCTCTCTCTGTGTAACTCTGACTCTCAAATAAATAAATAAATAAATAAATCTTAAAAAAAAAAAAGTGCAGACCCCCTGGGTCCAGCCCCAAAGCCCTAGGATTTTTTGTTTTGTTTTGTTTTTAATTCTTATTTATTTTTATCTAAGAGGCAGACAGAAAGAAAAAGAGACAGAGTGAGTTCCCATTTGCTGCTGTTCCTTCCCCAAAGCCCCACAATGACTGGGGCCCAGCCAGGCCAAAGCCAGCCTCCCCTGTGGCTGATAGGAGCCCCATACTTGCTTTTCAGTAAAATTCTAAGTGGAGAGCAGCCACCTTGTGCCGCTCTGGGTGCAGGAGTGGTTCAGGGCTGCGTGGCTGGTTGTGTTCTCACTGTCCAGGGAGCTGGCCCACCTGATCCCACTGCTCTGTTCTGTGCCCCAGGCCCCACAGCTACACAGCTCAGGCCCTGAGGGTGCTGGGGGCCCTCAGTCACCTCCCTCCTCCATCCCCCCCTTCTCTGAGGCACCCCTCACTTCTGCTTTATCTGAGTGGGCACACAGAGCACACACACACAGAGAGCACACACACACACACAGAGCATACACACCCATTCCCTGGAGGAGGGAGAGAATCCTAAGATGGCTCAGGGAGCTCCCAAGAGGATGAGAAAGGCATAGAGTCCCACTTTGTGAAGGTCAAGCCAACATACACATGTAGACGATGGGCAAGAACCGTGACCCAGAGGCCACAGAGAACCCCCAGGGACTCCCTGTGGGTCTAGGAAGTCCCACAGTGCATTCAAAATAAACCCACACACCACACCCCAGCCTGCAAGATGTCACCTTGCACCAGAGCAAGGCTCCACTGTACTCCCCTCCTGTCCCAGGAAGGCTGCCTGATTAGTGGAGAAGACAATGAAACCAAAACCCACGGACAGGAAGGACCGCCTTCCCCAGCATCCACCACTAATCCTAAGCAGATCAAAATAAACCCGGTGCGGAGGAGACGGGAGAGCTGTTTGCTCCAGGGCTGGGAGGCTCGGGGATCTCAGCACAAGCCCTGGAGACTCAAGGCCCCTGGCAAGCTGCAAATGCCATGCTCCCTGCTTACTGCCCCTTCCCTCCCAGGTTCCACCACCCTCTGGAGGCTGTTTGTTAGGGCCGGCCTCATTGCACGCTTCGTCCCTGTAAGTTGGGCAGTCAAGGGAAAACAGTTTCCCTGCTGTGGGGTTGGTTTGGGACTAGACTGCAGGCTCCAGGCCTGTAGCTTTATTCCCCTTCATGGGGGTCCTATCTCTCCCTGGAGGATTAATAGCCACAGAGCATTATGGTAAGTGCAGCTCTTACCATCAACTGGATATAGCATTTCCCTCACGGTTACCCAGCAGGCAATTTTCATCCAGAATGAGCCGTGCGTGTGTGTGTTTAAGTTGTGTGTGTGTGTTTAACAACCGTGTATATGTGTCTGTGTATGCCTTTAACAAGCTGTGTGTGTGTGTGTGTGTGTGTGTGTGTGTGTCTCAGGCTGGAGGGAGAGCTCAGATCAGCAGCATGGCCGTGATGGCAGAGGACAGCCTCACCTACCTGGCTGACCAGCAAGGCTTCATCCGTGACTACGGACTGCAGGGACCGGAACGACAGCCTCCCCAGAGTAGGCAATGGATTTGTCCACGTTAACCACTGTGATGGGTGCGACGTCCGTTTGTTAGTGCAATATCCTGGTTGGGAAAATTAAGTTAGGCCAAATGAAGATGGATTCTTTTAAGATCCTTTAAAAGCAGATTTAGAGAAAAATGTTTTAATGAAGGTATTCAGCATTGGCAAAGAGGCAGAAAAATGGGTGCTGATATGCTCTTGAATAGAAGGCAATGAGTGTACGTTATCTGAAAAGCAGGTTGATAATACGTATCCAAGGCTTTCAATGACAATCCACTTCTAGGGCTTTGACTGGAAGAAATAATAAATGAACACAAGAATTTAGTTATAAGATCGTGCATCAGTATTTTGTTTATTAGAGAGAAATAGACACACTCTGTATGTCCAACTTAAGGGGCCTTGATTAAATACATGATGGTAGAATGCTTTAGAACATTATTTAGTTATTAAATAATGCTGCTATATATGAAAATGCACTCACAGGAAAAATATTTGTAAAAAACATTTAAATGAAAAAATCAGATCACTACAGGGAATTACAGTAGGCTTCCTTTCTTCATTAAAGCAAAGCTGGAAGGCTTGGGAAGCCAGAAACCAAGGTTTTAACAGACACTGTCTCTCTGTAGATGAGGTTACAGATATTTTTAATTTTCTTCTTTTTGAACATCTGTTTTTTTTTCTATTTTTTTCTGCACATATCTTGCTTTGGTAGTAGCCAAAATCTGTTTGAAGTTTCAGAACACTTATACAATTATAAAAGTGCTTATGCTTAGGGGAAAAACAAGCAATAGGCAATAATGGAAAGTGAGAAATGGAAGTTGTTCTCCTGACCTCCTCTTCCACCCACATCGCCCACGAATGCTCCCTAGCAAGGCTGCTAAGGAGTCTGAATCTCCTTCCAGAAGGCCTGTGGACACATATGTGCTCTTACAGTCATGTGCCACGTAACAACGGCTTGGTCAACACCAGACTGCGTGTCTATTGGTGGCTCTGTGCGATGGTATTGCCTAGAAATGCAGCTTCCTGCTTTATCCAGGCCTATTCTAGGATGTTTGCCCAACAGTGAAACCACCTGACATTGCATTCTCAGAGCTGATCCTGGGTCTTTCTTTTTTTTTTTTTTTTTAATGTTTATTTATTTATTTGAAAGCCAGAATTAGAGAGAGAGAGAGAGAGAGAGAGAGAGAGAGAATCTTCCACTATTTCACTTCCCAAATGGTCACAATTGCTGGAGCTGGGCCGATCTGAAGCCAGGAACCAGGAGCTTCTTCTGGGTCTCCCATGTAGGTGCAGGATCCCAAGGACTTGGGCCATCTTCTACTGTTTCCCAGGCCACAGCAGAGAGCTGGATTGGAAGAGGAGCAGCCTGGACTAGAACCAGCGCCCATATGGGATGCCAGCACTGTAAGCGGTGGCTTTACCCAATATGCCACAGCACTGGCCCCAGATCCTGGGTCCTTAAAAAAACATGTAGCTGTTTGTACTATAGAGGCACACACACACAATGATACATAATTTTCAGAACTTATTTTTTTTTTTTTTGTCTCTTAGACAACTTCCCAAAGAAGCATACTTACTCTCGTTCTTAAGTGGCTACAAAATATGCCATCAAATAGATTTCCAGAAAGCCAATCTAGAGATAAACAATCACATACTTCTCTTTATTCTTTGCTTATCCCACCTCAGGAGAAGTTTAAGTGGCAAAGTAAGAGAAATCAGGATATAAAAATAAAAATGATCTGCTTTGTATTTTATTTTATTCCCAGTGTTGGGAATATGGCTTTCCCTAGGCTACAGTTTTAAACTCTTTTGGATTACTTGCATCTATGTTTTTACCAAACCTGAAGCACTGGATGAAACCAAACACGGCTCCCATTCCTATTTCATATGTCTGGGACCTGGCCTGGAGTCTTACCATAGTAGGTAAGTGAGCAGCCACGGGATTAGTGTAGCAGGGCCGAGATGTGTGTCAGCCCGCAGGAACTGTCCACAGCAGCCGGCATCATGGCATGCTGACTCTCCCACCTTACCTAGATGCGTTCTGCCTTTTCATTTAGCTGTCACGTTCTGGAGGGCCCACGTCAGCCCAGTGACACCGTGAGTACCCTCGATGGTGCTCAAGAGTTTGCAAAAGACCAAAAATAATCCCCACAGTGTTGACCAAATCAGTCCCTCTCAGGAGCCCTCTGAAGTGGGCAAACAGTGCTTCAGTTCTGCTGTTGATGGAAGCAAGAAACATGTTGCTCAGACAGAACCAAAGAAAGAGATGGGGGGGCCGGCGCTATGGCGTAGCTGGTAAAGCCACCGCCTGCAGGGCTGGCATCCCATATGGGCACCAGTTCAAGTCCTGGCTGCTCTACTTCTGATCCAGATCTCTGTTGTGGCCTGGAAAAGCAGTAGAAGATGGCCCAAGTGCTTGAGTCCCTGCACCCATGTGGGAGACCCAGAAGAAGCTCCTGGATCCTGGCTTCGGATTGGCACAGCTGTGGCCATTGTGGCCATCTAGGGAGTGAACCAGCAGATGGAAGACCTCTCTTTCTCTCTCTCTCCCCCTCTCCCTCTACTTCTCCCTGTGTGTAACTCTGAGTTTCAAATAAATAAATCAATCTTTAAAAAAAAAAAGATTGGAAGCCTTTATTTATTTGAAAGGCAGAGCAATAGAGAGACAGAGGGAAAGACAGAGAGAGAATCTTCCATCTGCTGGTTCACTCCCCCAGATACCTACAACAGCCAGGTCTGGGAGAGGCAGAAACCAAAAGCCAGGAGCTCCATCCTGGTGTCCCACATGGCTGGCAGGGCCCAAGTACCTAGACCATCTTCTGCTGCCTTCCCAGGCCCATTAGCAGGAGACCAGATGGGAAACAGAGCAGCCAGGACTCTAACCGGCACTCCAACATGGGATTCCAGCATTGCCAGCAGCAGTTTAATCTGTTGGACCACAGTGCTGGCCCCCTGCATTTTTCTATAAGTGGATGATTGTTTTCCTTGAATTGCCCTGGTGTTTTAGTGTAAGTGTGTGCGCTTAGTAAATTTGGGACTGTTTTGAGCGGGGTGGAAAGGAGTCTGAGCTGAGGGTGGGGTTTGAACTCGTGCTAGATGATGCTTCTCAATGTGCTGATCTTCCCCCAGACCCATGGCCCACAGGTGGTTTCCAGTTCATCGCATTTGACGTCTGGGGCTGGAGTGGGAGAGCGGGGAGGGTCATGGTGTGGTAGGAGGTGGGGAAATGACATTCCCAAGGATAGTTCAGGAGATTAACCCGGCTTCTGCGTTCCAACCTTGGTTAGAAGAGAACTGACGTCGCGATGCAAGTCCTTTCCGTGCAGTAGCGGCCTGGAGGACCCTCTCCTCTCCCCTTTATCTCATTTGACTGGAGCTGATAACAGGAGACAAAATGCTGCTGTCATCCTCTCTGGACCGCACTGTGCGCATGTGGAGCTGGGAGAGGGCGTACGTAGGTAAGGAAGCTCCACCTGGCCTCCAGCTTGCCCCTGGTTCAAGGCCATTGAGACAGGAATTCTCGGAGGTGCTGTGCTTTCGTCTTCTCCGGCTGTCCTAACGACAAACCATACTCCGAGTGGCTTCCACAGTAGCCATTGCTTTTCTCCCAGCGCTGGAGTCTGGAAGTCTGCAATGAGGGGCCCAGCGCCCTCCTCCTGGCTTGCAGAAGGCCCCTTCCAGCCATGTCCTCGCATGGCAGAGGGAGAATGAGCCCTCTGGCCTCTCTTCACAGAAAGACACTAATCCTGTGGGGTCGCGGCCCCACCTTTATGAACCTTCTTAACCCCAGTTACCCGCCTTGGAGGCCCCCTGTCCAAATACAGTCACCTTGGGGGTGACTGCCACCCACATGTCTAAGTGGGATGGAGACACCACTCAGTTCACACTGGACAGTCAGCTTGTTACCACACAACGGGACAAAATCAAAGATATTGGAACCCGGAGACCTCAGCAGAAGGCAGTGTGGGCTAAGGAGCTGTGTGTGTTATCACGCGGGTGGTGTCTTACAAGGAACAACTCAGGACTAGGGGGCGCCACGTGGTGGGAAAGGCCTGGCGTGTGTGTGTCACAGCAACCCAGGAGCCTGACTTCCCGCTCCGAGGGACTCTGCCTGCCACATGTCCCCTGGCTTGTGTTTCTTGAAGCAGGGGCCAGAACTACCTTGACCGTACTCTGCTGCTGTTGAATATTGAATTACTGAGCAGCCTGTGCACACAGGGATGCATTTGGTAGCAGACATTGCAGGCTTCAGTCTCCAGGGCCAGTTGCCCTGAACTTGTTGCTTGTGGGAACTACAGAGGCAGAACTTGGTGAGGTTGAGGCATTCTAGCCAGGACTAAGGAGACCTAACACGTTGGCATTAAGCTTAGCTCTGACTAGGGGGCAGGTAACCTTCCATTCCATGTGTATTTAATGGTGGATCTCTGCTCTTCCAGGGACCTTTGGACAGCAGAGCCCCTGGGATTTTTTTTTTATTTATTTTTCAAAGATTCATTTATTTGAAAGTCAGAGTTACACAGAGAGAGAAGGGAGGCCGAGAGAGAGGTTGGTCTTCCATTGCTGGTTCACTCCCCAATTGGCTGCAATGGCTGGAGCTGCACCAATCTGATGCCAGGAGCTTCTTCCAGATCTTCCATGCAGGTAAAGGGGCCCAAGCACTTGGGCCATCTTCTGCTTTCACAGGCCATAGCAGAGAGCTGGATCAGAAGTTGAGCAGTCGGGACTTGAACTGGCACCCATATAGGATGTTGGCACTTCAGGTGGCGGCTTTACCTTCTATGCCACAGCGCCAGCCCAAACCCCTGGGATATTTTCACGCCTGCCTCCTAGAGCAACCCCAGAGTCCCGGGTGAAATTTTGACAGATCCACAGAGCATGCCTGCTCACCCAGGGCTGCAAGGAGATGTGCTTTCTGGGCCCTCGAGGATCACACAGGAGCAGGACAACAGTGGGGAGTAAAAAGGCCCAGGCTGAGGTTAGTGTGGGCACAGCCAGTTCCCCAGTGTTTCCTTTGTGGCTTCCAGGGAGATCAGCTTGGAACGTGAACCTCAACTTGAAAGATTCAAGCATGACTCAGAGGACCAACAAATAGAAGCACAAAAGAGCGCCCCTCCCAGCCCAAGACCAAGAAGCAGCCGGGACACGAACTGGCATCATACAGGATGCCAGTGCCACAGGTGGAGGCTTAACCTACTGCGCCACAGCACCAGACCCCCAAATCAAATTCTGATCCCAGCTTTCTGGCAATGCACGCCTTTAAGAAGCAGCAAGTGATGGCTCAAGGACTTGAGTAACCTGCCACCCACATGGAAGAAACAGATTAAGCTCCTGGCTCCTGGCTTTGGCCTAGCCCAGTCCCAGCTGTTGTATTTTGGAGAGTAAACCAGCAGATAGAAGATTCTCTCTCTCTCTCTCTCTCTCTCTCTCTCTCCCTCTTCCCCCCTTCTCTCTCACTGCCTTTAAAATGATAGTAATGACAGTAGTAAATACACATAAATAAAAACAGAATTTCCTAACAAGTAAAATGACGAAATGAATGGTTTTACAGCCAAGTGTGTGAAAGTCAAATCGGAGCAAGGGATTTTGAAAGAACCAAGGTCAATGCAGTCCTGATTTAGAGCTCTGCAGAACGTACAGGTCTCCAAGAAACGCTTGCCCTTTAACAAATTGAAAAGAAGGTCATTTCATGAGCTATTGCTCCCCGGCAATGTTACAACTCAAAGCAGGACACCTGCTCTGCCAGCAAAATCCCGTCTTAGGTTTTTCCTTGGCAGCCTCCTAGAATACTGATCGCACAGTATAATCTAGTCCCTGACTCGTGCCCAGAGCCTGAAACTCGTGCCCAGTAATAGGAGACAAAGGGACCAGGCAAGCGCAGAGCGGAAAAAGGCTTCTGCCTCCTCAGAGCCTCCTGCGTCTCCATGATCTTTGCTCAAGGTTATAAAGAGACGCACTGCGGTAGCTCCCGGGAGACCCCGAATGTGCGGACGAGGCACTGGCGGCCGACTGAGAGTGCGGCCATTTCAGCGCGCATTTCATGTGAAGAAAATGAATGTGTTCATTAATTTTGAGAGGCCTGCACTTCGGAAAACAAAAGCTCGGGGGGAAGTGGGACGAGAAGGGAAGAAGGAGGGCAGGATGTGGGAATCTGCTGATGTGGACAAAGCCGGGGGTCGGACTTCCTGCTCAGGCAGACCTAGGAGCAGTCAGAGCACAAGTTCAAATGTAGGAAGGAGGGTGCTTAGGAGGGGTGAGGCGGGAGGGGAGGATGCTTCTGGGATGCCAGCAGACCAAACACAACCCCAGCTAAAATCAGAGGAAAGGCAGAGGGAGGAAGAGGAGGAATGGAGGAGGCCACAGGAGGAAGGAGACAAAGTTCAGTAAAATCAGATCAGAGTCACGTACGTGATGGTTGCTCTCCAAGGCTCCACACGGTAAACAGAGGTGTTTCGGGTGAGCAGGATCTCAGCACTCAAGGAACCTGCAGTGTGTTTCAATGTTTACTACTCCATCCATTTTGACCGTGGGCACCTCAGAGAGCAATCTGCAAATTCGTTCCAAGAAAAATACACAGAAAAAAAGAACCTGAGCCCTTGAGAGCCGGCATTGTGGCACAGGGGGTTAAGCTGGCATTCCATATGAGCACTGGTTCAAGTCCCGGCTGTTCCACCTCAAGTCCAACTCCCTGCAAATGCTCCTGGGAAAGCAGCCAGAGATGGCCCCAGTGCTTGGGCCCCTGCCACCCACATGGGAGACCTGGGTGTATTTCCAGGCCCCTGTCTGGCCATTGTAGCCATTTGTGGACTAAACCAGTAGATGGAAGCTCTCTCCCACTCTTTTTTCTGTAACTCTGCCTTTCAAAGAAACAAAATTTTACAAAAGAATAAAAGAACCTGAGCCCTAATACAAGGGTACTTCAAAAAGGTTGCGAAAAAGAGAAGGAAAAGATAAGTGTAGTTTGGTGCAAAAATTTGTTGACATTCACATTAATGAAGGATCGTCAAAAAGTTCATAGGAAATGTGCACTATGAAATAATATTATTATGTATTATTATGAAATAATACATATAGGACATGTGTATTATGTGTGGATTTCAAAAATCATTTTGTACCAAAATAAACTGATCATCTTTTGATTCAATTTCTCCATGAACTGCTAGAACACCCTCGTCATATGTCTGGTCCAGCTGATGGAATCCAAAGTGTAAAATTACAGGACAAATGTCTGCATCCCAGACCACGAGGCAGTGCTACCTGAGCTCCACTCTCAAGTTCACCTTAATTAGCCGCGTGACCTCCTGCAGCAATCAATTCCACTGCGCTGTAAGAGGAGCAGTGGAATTACATGGCCTCTACGTTTCATTCCAGCTCCCAAAGTGCTGTTTCTCTGAATGTCTGTTTCACAAAAACAGAGTGCACTGATTCGATTCTGGATGCCAGCAGCAATGCTTCTGGGATGCCAGCAGACCAAACACAAGCCCAGCTAAAATCAGAGGACGGCACGCAGAAAATCATTCACGTGGAAATTATCACAGATGAATCGATAGTTTGAAAATTGAGTCAAAGCTCAAGGGGAAGTTCTCTTCTTACTAACAGATTCATTCAGCCTAAATCTTGTTCCAAAGCAGAAAATGTATATCCCTGACAGGTGGGCCTTGTTCCCTGTAACCAGGGTGACCACGGGTGCCTCTTCCCACTTCTGTTCCTTCTTCCGGCCTGAAAAGACCTCCAACTGCTGCTCTCCGAAAGACGCATCCCTGGAGTGGAGACGCGAGGAGCCTCCGGGTGCTGGTCGGCATTTTGCCATGGCAGGTCAGTGTGCAGGAAGCACGCAGGGCCAAGAACCAGCCCTGGTGAGATAGCGCAGCCTTTCCTGGTAGAGGTGGCCCAGGCCACCCTGCCATCTGCCAGAGTCGCTTGTCCCCGAGCCCCACCCCCGCAAGCCTACAAGCATGGCTGAGGCCACGACTCAGATCTCATCTGCTCATCACACACGGTGGAGAGCCATGATATCAGTTCTCACCCTGAGCTCCATGACTGGTGTTGCTGCCTCACAAGGCGGCTCTACCTCTTGCAGGAGGCAGGACGGCCTCACTGTCTTCCCCCAGGAGCCCTGTGTGCCACTGGAGACTTCCTGAGGGTGTATGGGGCGGGGAGGGCCCCACGGAGGTCCTGTGTGCCCTCCAGCTCTCATCAAACCAAGAACTGATGGGTTCCACAGAGACCTGGGACCAAGGAGTGCGTCTCTCTCCATTTCAGCGCAGGGTTTTATTCCCCAGGCCCTGTGCTGTCCTGCTTGGGTTCTTAGTCTGTTTTCTGTTGCTAATAACACAGTACCACAGACTGGGTGAGTTAAGAGAAAAACAGGTTTATTCTGGATCATGGTTCTGGCCCAAAGTCAAAGAGTCACTTTTATTTTAAAGATTTATATTATTGGGGCCAGCACTGTGGTGCAGCCAGCTAAGCCACTGCTTGCAACACCTGACACCTGTATCCAGGATGGGAGCACTGGTTTGCATCTGGCTGCTCTGCTTCTGATCCAGCTCCCTGCTAATGCGCACGGGAAATCAGCAGAAGATGGCCCCTGCACCCATGTGGGAGACCCAGATGAAGTTCCTGGCTCACGGCTTCAGTCTGGCCCAGCCCTGGCCACTGTGGCCATCTGAGGAGTGAACCAGCGGATGGAAGACTCTCTCTGTGTCTCTCTCTCCCTCCCTCTTGAGCAAGTCACTCTGGTGACACAGGAGCAAGTGGAGAGGATCAACAAGTGTGAAGTTGCCCACGGGAAACGCGCTGGGATGAGAGGTTCGGCTGCGCTCCATTTGGGAGCCCGGTCTCAGGCACCAGCATCAAAGGCTCTCACATGTTTTGGTTCCTCTCACCACCCCTCCCCTACCAGGCTGCAACCGGAGCAGAACGAGCCTAAGCCGAGGTGGCCCAGCATTTACCAGACCCTGCGGTGCCCGAGGTCGCCAGATCTGTCTGTCGTTGGCTCGGACCTGTTGAGTTTCCTTGCACAGGGAAAAGCAGGGAGTGAAGCTGTGCAGAGGAGCAGCGCTCCTGCCGTGATCTCCTTGTCTGGCTCAAGAGCCCCCACTGCTGTTTTCTTTCCTCAGCAAATTCTTCTCTCCGATGTCATGGAAAGGCCGGACGGAGACGAAGCTTTGCCCGTGGGGTGCAGGGAAGAACACCACGAGAAATGATTCTGCCCACGCAGGCTCCTTCCCAGAACAATTAGAGCTTGCATGTTAGCAATCGAATCAGAGTCTTGGTTTTTCTTCCTCCGAGGCTGCTATTTCATTGAGTGAAGAAAGCTCAGAGCTGATGACTGCATCCAGCGGCTCCCAGGGGCAGCTCCAGCACAGCCCGAGTACCCCTGACAGCATCTGCCCTTCGCGGACAGCGGAGAGAGAAGGGAGGCTGTTGGTAAAACGGATGAGGGGCTTTTAAAAAGTCCGTGGAAAATGTGTATTACCAAAAAATTGCATAGATTTCAATTTTTTTGCACCCAAATAAACTCCCTTTTCCCTGAGCTCTGTGAAGCACTCTCGCAGCTGACAGTTTTGGAAATTTGCTTTATGCCAGGCAGGCCTTGTTGAAGGGCCTAGGTACATTCTCTCATTTAGCCCTAATAATACCCCTGCGCATAGATACTGTTACTACACCCACATTACTCTCTGGGAAACTGAGGCTTTGAGAAGTTTAGTGACCTGCTGATGGCTCACAATTAAATAAGGGACGCTGGCGAATTCAGACGCCACGCCCCCAGCACTGCTGACTCAGAGTGCAGGGAATAAACTAGAAAGCCACAGCCCTCTGCCTTCCACGGCTGGCTCCAGAGCGGCTGACGTAGAGCTGGTAGCCATGGACCCAAGAGATGGCAACAGTGATAGGAAAAGGACAGTACAGCTTCCAGTTACCAAGCACCTGCTAAGCCAGTCTCATCATTTCATCCTCTC